AACAGTACTGGATCATGATATATAAAACACGGCATTTCCATCATTTCCATCGGTGAGATTTCCAGGTGTCATCATCTTCAAAGACCTCCTTCCGTTCTCTTCATTTCGCATTACAGCGATCTTTATTGACCAGTCTTGCCCTTAGGTGCTCATATAAAATTCTCGTTGAGTGCGGTAGAAGCTCTCCATCTGTATCTTAGGGCAAATTTTGGCCCCAAGATAAAACGCTATGTGATTTATAGAAAATGAAAAAGTTGGGGCACAGGGCAGGGGGAGGGAATGTTGAGAGTGGCTGAGCATCAGTTCACCAATACCCCTACCCTGGGATGTTTAGGTTTACCTTTTACTATTTGTTTCTGTGCTATCTCATCGTAGAGTTGGGAGGGATCTCCAGGGGTCATCTAGTCCAACCCCTGCAATGCAAGAATCACAGCTCAGGAATCCCTGACAGATGGCCACCCAACCTCTGCTTAAAAAAATTCCCATGAAGCAGAGTCCCGCCACCTTCCAAAGTAGACAGTTCCGCCGTCAAACAACCTTTACCACCAGAAAGTTCTTCCCAGTGATTGGTCCGTCTCCTTTCTTGTAATTTGAACCCTTCAGGCCCTACTTTTCGGAAACAGCAGAAAACAAACCTGCTGCATCCTCCGCATAACGGATGTGACGGCAGTTCAGATACTTGAATATGGCCTCTTAGTCTTCTCTTCTCCAGGTGAAACATACCCAACTCTCTCAACCGCTCCATGTAAAACTCTCGAGACCCTTTATCAGCTCAGTCACCCAAATCCTTCAACATCTTGAGGGCCAAAGATCTAAACATTCCTGATCTAAACATTCTTTGAAAGAAAATGATGGTCACACTTGGGGTTGGCAGACCTCTAGGACCAAACTGAAGTCTCCAGGTTTGCCTGCCCTCTCCCTGCAGGTGGCAGGGTTAGGGTTTGTATCTCCAATTGAGTAAGAGCACCTTCCCTTCCCAGGCTCCCTAAGCACGTGAGAAAGAATTACAGTGGTATCTCAGGTTACAGACGCTTCAGGTTACATACACTTCAGGTTACAGACTCCGCTAACCCAGAAATAGTACCTCGGGTTAAGAATTTTGTTTCAGGATGAGAACAGAAATCGCGCCGTGGCAGCAGCGGGAGGCCCCATTAGCTAAAGTGGTACCTCAGGTTAAGAACAGTTTCAGGTTAAGAACAGACCTCCAGAACAAATTAAGTTCTTAACCCGAGGTACCACTGTACCCCTTCATTTCATCTGGACCACGGACTGCCCCTCCCCCACCTCACCCTGCCCTTTTAAGCTGAAGTTAATTTCCTGCCAGTGCCATATTTGCTCATTTGTTAGACTTTGTGTGTGTGCTTTTTTTAATTGCATGCTCTCAGCAACTGTGGTTCATGCTTAATGCGTTATGCTTGATGACATCACCAGTGGCTGCTCCTATGTCTCAGGAGATATAGATAGATAGATAGATAGATAGATAGGTAGATAGATAGGAAGGAAATGGTGGGGGAGAGCTGGAAGGTCCTCATGGCTCATGAGGAGCCCCTCCCCGGAGCCCTAAGAGGACGTCAGTGAGGCAGGAGGAAGCCCCAAAGAGACTGGGGGTGTGTGGGGCTTCCTTTAGGCTGCTCAGCCTCCCTGCCTAGCCAGTGGCATAGTGTTGTGTGGAAGGTCCACAGGATCGGTGACCCTGGGTGCAAAATTGTTCAGGGGCATAAAATTTCAACACCCGGTGCTGGGTTCCGTTGAAATTTACTAGACATGAGGAACTCAGCTTCATTAATTTCAGTGGGTCTACTCTGAGTGCAGCTTAGTTGGATACTATACAGTGGTACTTTGGTTCTCAAACTTAATCCATTCCGGAAGTCCGTTCCAAAACCAAAGCGTTCTGAAACCAAGGCGCGCTTTCCCATAGAAAGTAATGCAAAATGGATTAATCTGTTCCAAACTTTTAAAGACAACCCTGAAACAGCAATTTAACATGAATTTTACTATCTAACGAGACCGGTGACCCATAAAATGAAAGCAATAAACAATGTACTACAGTCACACAATCAATCAGTAGCTGAACTGGGTTCTCCACAGTCACAAAAAAAGAGCCGCAAAAGCAAAAATGCAAAATAAATATAAAAAACAGACAGACCTCAGCGTAACACTCAAAATGGAAGTGTGGCACTCAAATCGGAAGCACGTTTGGCTTCCAAAAAAAGTTCACAAACCAGAACTCTTACTTTCGGGTTTGCAGTCTTTGGATTCCAAGTTGTTTGACTACCAAGGCGTTTGAGAACCAAGGCACCACTGTACCTGATTGTTGAACTTGGTGTGCTTTAAACTAACCAGAGTTTGTTTTAAACCGCTCCTCATAGTTTGGATGACACAACAAGCCATCGTTCAGAAACCAAACCCTGGTGAAATATTTTTTCTGGGCATACTGGATGAGAAAGGGGTGATCCTCAGGCTTGCTGAAGCTCATCCTTGCTTAGGCCTGTTTCTCCAAACCACGGTTTAGCATTACATGTGAGTACAGCCATTGTGAAAGGTAGCAAAGTTGTGCTCAAGCGCATATGAATAAATGGCAGCGAGCAGCGAGTTTCCTCCCTGCCAACTTGCGGATTGCAACCTGTTGTTTTTTTGCCTTAGATAATTACCGTAAATGGGAAACGCCAATAAACAAACCTGTCCCAATCTGCATAGCTCCACCCCTTCATTTGCATAACCTTACCCCCAGGTTCTAGGCATAGCTGTCAAGCGTCCCTTATTTGGCGGGAAACTCCCTTATCCCAGCGCCGTGTCCCGCTGCTCTCCCTTATTGATGATGTCCCTTAAATTTCCTGGGTTTCATACTCGCCCAGCTCGGGAGGGAAGAAGCAGCTCGGGGTCCTCCACCGCGAAAGAGAGCGCGCGCTGGCACCGTCGTCCTTGCGCAAGGAGTTCCATCGGCCCTTCCCTGCCCGAGAGAGAGGTGGGGGAGAGAGAGAGAGACTCTCACCCACGCCACCCGCGAGCCCGGAGGCGGCAGCAGTGGTGGCAGCTGAGGAGGTGGCCTGAGGGAGGAGGAAAAGGAGGGGATGGGGAGGGATGCAGAAGGGTGGCGCTTCAGCGGCCGTGGCGGCTCCGCAACCGCCTCATGCCGGATTTACGGCATCTGTCGATCCTACCAATGTATGTAACTCTTTACAATAGCAAAATCCCTTATTTTGGCTGCTGATCCCTTATTTTCGAGACTGCTGGTCCCTTATTTTCAAATCTGTAAGTTGACAGCTATGGTTCTAGGTCATGTTAGAGTGCAATATAACACACAATAAAACGTGTTAGGAGAGGGACAGAGAGAGAGAGAGAGAGAGAGAGAGAGAGAGAATGAATATTGGTGAGAGAGGTGCCTGCCACTGGGATGAGTACTTCCTGAGCTCAGCTGCCTTCTAGAGGGAGACAAGAAAAAGGAACTGCAGCTTTCCACTGGGGACACAGGAACTCATTCTGCCTTACATGCAGAAAGTCCCTGGTTCAGTCGTAGGCATCTCCAGGTAGGACTGGGAATGTCCTCTGTCTGAAACCCTAGAGAGCTGCTGCCAGCCTGTGTAGGCAATACTTAGCTAGCTGGACCGATAGTTTAACTCAGCAAGCATGAGGTATAGTGTTCCACTATGTTTATCAGCTCTTATACGTGGGCTCCCAAGTTTAATTGGTAGGGTTCCAGCTTTGCAACTAAATGCTGGCTCCGCATACTAGGGAGTGATAATTGCCCTCTACATATGATATGTTGGTATTCACAGCACGCATCGATTAGTATATCTGATCAAAGTCTTGTTTTGATGTGCCCCTCTTACTTGCTTCCCCCTCCTCATTTTTTTAAAAAAACTTTTCCTTTTTTATATAAAAAAAACACTTTCTCACTTTATTTAACCATTTTTAAAGCATTGTGATGGAACTCAAGAAATCACCTTTTGCATGTACAGTGGTACCTCGGGTTACATACGCTTCAGGTTACAGACTCTGCTAACCCAGAAATAGTACCTCGGGTTAAGAACTTTGCTTCAGGATGAGAACAGAAATCGGGCTCCGGTGGCGCGGCGGCAGCAGAGGCCCCATTAGCTAAAGTGGTGCTTCAGGTTAAGAACAGTTTCAGGTTAAGAACAGACCTCCGTAATGAATTAAGTACCGTGGTACCTCGAGTTAAGTACTTAATTCGTCCCGGAGGTCTGTTCTTAACCTGAACAATTTCTGTTCTCATCCTGGAGCAAAGTTCTTAACCTGAAGCACTATTTCTGGGTTAGCGGAGTCTGTAACCTGAAGCATATGTAACCTGAAGTGTATGTAACCTGAGGTACCACTGTACTTAACCTGAGGTACCACTGTACTAAAAAATGAAAAAGGTGGAATGAAAAGTGTTGCCCCCCCGCCTTAAAAAAAGCAAAAACAAAGAACATCACACCAAGCTTTACTTGCAAAAAGTTGTTCACATTCTTGGGAAGGAGCAAAAAAATAATAATATAGGCCTTAGGTTAGCTGCATTGATTTAATGCCTTAGTTAGGCGGTAAGAGCAGAGGTAGAGAGACTCTCCCTGCATTAGGAGAGGCTGGGGTCGCCCTGACTCCTTTTGATCAAGTCTCTGTGAAAGATGAGTGTCATGCCCTCTCCCAGCCAGCTGTGAGGGGTCTGCCCTGTGACTGGAGGGGCCTGCCGAAACACTCCCCTCCGGAGCGCTGAGGTGGGAGCATCCTGGAGAGGTGAGAGAGAGAGAGAGAGGCAGTCACAACTTAGGACTGTAGGTTTCTGGAGGAGGGATCTGATTTCACTCCCCTGTGCTCACTGTAAGCGCACATCAGGCGTGGAGGTGCTCTCTGCTTCAGACAAGGGTAAAAAAGACCAAGGCGTGTGATGATTCTGCCTCCCTTACTTGTACAGACAGGAATGTTTCCTGGTTCTTCTTTGTACAACTCACAGCAGAGGGGATGGGAAACTGTTTTATAGCTCTCAAAACACATGCTCCGTAAGAATGTCGGAGGTAAGGAAAGTTCTTTTGTAGTTTGTGCATGGATTTGGGTTGTCTTCCCTCCCACCTCCCCCTTCCCCGCTTGCAAGCTCTTGTGCTATAGAAATAATGCTATTTGCTGTAATTGCTTCATTATCCTGGGATAGCAAACAATAAGATTTCAAGGTGCTACACACTACTCGATTTCTTATTTGGCTGCTACCTTGTGTTTTGGAATTATCTGTTTGCTTAACAGACTGAGCCTAAGCAGGTTTGTACAGAAATAACTCCATTGATTTATTTCATCTTTTTTTCCCTTTTCTTTTTAAACTGATTCAAAAGTAAGTGTGCTTTGCACAGCAAACCTTACTTACAAAACGCTGGCCTTCTGGACAAAATGCATCCTAAACGATGGATTGCCTTCCTTTGCCTATAAGTTATGGAAAATCATTGTGATAAAGCAGAATCGGACCGCCAATTAATCTTTCCCCCGTTGAAGCATCAGGATCTGTAAATCATGACGACCTGACAATGTTTAATCGTACAGGTCCTGGTTGTACATTAATAGCTATAAAAGTCATGATTTGTGGCTTCAGTGTGTTCTGAGTCAAGTGCTCTAAGCAAATACATTATCATTATTGTGATGTTAAAAAAAAAAATTTGCACAGGAGACCAGACACTGCAATTTTGCAAAGGAGGTTTCTTTGGGAATCAGACCAGCAATGGTGTGTGCCTTTTGTATATATAGTTCATTGCTGACCATAACATGTCTTGCAAAATAGGCATTGGGGGGGTGGGGAGTCCCTTGTCACAAAGTTGTTGTTTGTTGTTTGTGCTTTTAAAATACAAGAAGAACTAGAAGGCTAAATCATTACATCCCAGACTGGCAAACACCGATGTATCTTTTGGGGTTTTCTGTCCTTTGTCATTTCATTCCGTAAAAAAGCACCATCACAAAACTGTCAAAACAGACTCTTGTGCTGTCTTGCTGGCATAGCGAGAGAAATATTTAATTTTACTTTCCTGCTCAGTGAACACACCAAGCCTCTTGCCACCATCCCATTCCTTACCTTTTAAAAAAATATTTGCTTTAAAATAAAAACGATTACCCATCAATTGAAAATGTTTGTGAGAAAGAAAGGGGGGGAGCGATTTTATACAGATGTGTTCCACACTCGATAACTTTGGATTCTTGGGAAAACAATTGTTTTCTAGTTACGGAGACAGAGAAAATACGTTTCTGCTTAACAGCACCCGAGTTAGGTATGGAAGACTGGTAAAATATGAACATTAATTGTTATTTTGGAAAAGTGGAAGTGGGGAGCAGGATTTATAAATTGTACCACTGTTTTTTTAGGTTGAGCTTGCTGCTAAAGTGTGTTAGCAATCGTCTCCCTCTCTCTCTCTCTTTTTGATCATGCAGTTCTTTGGCTCCTTGAACCTTGGGAGGTGATTGTTTGTCTTATCTTCTGGTGAGCTAACTCTGCGCTGTGTTGCAAAACCTTGAGGCATGTTGCGCTCCTTTTTACTGTTCCGGGAGCCTGCAACTGAAGTCAGCTTCATTAGTTTCACTGATGGCACATCAGTGCGCGGCTGGTGTTGCCGCTTCCTTCCAGCTAGACCCCGAGCATGACTGGGGCTGCCTTGGTTTGGATAAGCTTGTAAGGATTTGTCAGCCAGATGTGACAAGATTGTCAAGAGGCGAGTAAAGGAGGAGATCTGATATTAATCAGTGCATAGCTCGGAGCCAAACTTTCTCAAATGCAGTGTAGCAACATGTTCTTCTCATTTACTGTGCCTCTTTTGTGGCTACAGATCTGCCACTGTGCGCCTCTGACGGCTAAAGGGAATGCCAGCTAATCGTATTTAATTGTAAAGACGAAAATTGTGGGTGGGGTGCGGAAAATGAGTGTATCTTGCTATCCATTAACTTGCTTTTTTTAAAAAAAAAAGAAAAGGAAAAAATTATAGTGCAGGTTGCTGCTGTTTACACACAGACACTCAAACAGAGCGAAAGTCCTGGGATCTCTCTTTTTGCAAAGTAGGCGGCTGTGGCTACCCATTGTAACGCTGGGATCACAGCACAAATTGCCAGAGATGCATCCCGTCTTCAGTCACTGGATGTTGATTTTTAGGGATAGCGACAGGCCGTGTGGGCTGCTCTCCCTGTTTGGCTCTTGAGGAGCAGAGGCAATCCGTTTAATTAGTTTGGGAAGGGACATGCCTCGCCATCGCTGCGTTGCCTCGGTGGACTCTTCCGAGGCTGTGCACATTTAACTTCAAATCCATTATGTACAGTGGTACCTCGGGTTAAGTACTTAATTTGTTCTGGAGGTCCGTTCTTAACCTGAAGCACCACTTTAGCTAATGGGGCCTCCCGCTGTTGCTGCGCCACCGGAGCACGATTTCTGTTCTCATCCTGAAGCAAAGTTCTTAACCCGAGGTACTATTTCTGGGTTAGGGGAGTCTGTAACCTGAAGCGTATGTAACCTGAAGCATATGTAACCCAAGGTACCACTGTACTAGGATACAGGTAGCGCCGCTTCTCCCAAATTCAGCTTCCTTTCTCATTTAAAGTTCGCTGGTGCGGTTTATTTCTTAACTGATGCCGTATATTTTAGGATGGAGTGAGCTGACAGATTAAAAAAAAACCCCGTAGGAACTTGCGAATCTGCCTTATCGTCTTTAACCGTAAAGAAGAAGGTTGTGGGTAGGGTGGGGGAAATGAATGGATCTTGCCTTTGTCCATCTAACTCTATACTGTCTGCACTGATTGGCAGCTGCTCTCCAGGATTTCAGGCAGGGAGCCCCTCCCAGCCCTACCTGAAGTTGCCGGGAATTGAACCCGGACCGCCTGCATTCCAAACAGATACTCTACCATTAAGCTATGGCCCATTCGCAAAATATTGTGATTCTCACTACTACTACTACTACATCTACATCCTTCCCCAAGGTTCCCAATATGAAATTCCAAGGAACCATAGTAGGCACATCAAGCAATAATAGGAGGATTGGTCTATCAATGCTGGGTAGCAACAACATATCCTCCAACATTTCTCTGATGGAAACAGAGACGTCCTATTCCATCATCTTCATCATACTCTGCCCATCCGATTGGGTTGCCCCAGCCACTCTGGACAGCTTCCAACTTATATAAAAACATAATAAAACATTAAACATTTTTTTTAAAAAAAACTTCCCTATACAGAGCTGCCTTCAGATGTCTTCTAATAGTTGCATAGTTACTTATCTCCTTGGCTCCAGGGGGTCGCATAACTCCTTCCCCTCCAACATTCCTGCGATGAAAATAGGGGTGTCCAAAGGAAAAGCGGGACATTCCGCAATCAAATCAGAAGCTGGGACGGTTTCTGTAAATCCAGGACTGTCCCTGGAAAATAGAAACAGTTGGAGGGCCTGTCCTCTAAATCTTTTGAGTATTATTACTATTAATGGGACGCAGGTGGCGCTGTGGGTTAAACCACAGAGCCTAGGACTTGCCGATCAGAAGGTCGGCAGTTCGAATCCCCGCGACGGGGTGAGCTCCCGTTGCTCGGTCCCTGCTCCTGCCAACCTAGCAGTTTGAAAGCACGTCAAAGTGCAAGTAGATAAATAGGTACTGCTCCAGCGGGAAGGTAAACGGCGTTTCCGTGCGCTGCTCTGGTTCACCGGAAGCGGCTTAGTCATGCTGGCCACATGACCCGGAAGCTGTACGCCAGCTCCCTCAGCCAATAAAGCGAGATGAGTGCCGCAACCCCAGTTGGTCATGACTGGACCTAATGGTCAGGGGTCCCTTTACCTTTACATTATTATTATTATTATTATTATTATTATTATTATTGCTGCTGCTGCTGCTACATTCTTCCCCAAGGTGTCCAGTATGAAATTCCAAGGAACCTTATGAAGTTCCATATTGGGCACATCTAGCCATAATGGGAGGATTGGTCTGTCAATGCTGGGTAGCTACAATGGATGGAGCCACAGTGAATGTAGCTTCTGTATTCAGAGGTAGTATGTAACCTGGACTACCAGATACTGTGGACAACGAACAGGGACTGAATGCCTTCCTTTTTAACTTGCAGAGTAATTTCGCTTGCCACCATTAGAAGCAGAATGCCTGCCTAAAGGAATGAGTCTCAGGGTTGTGGGTTCAAGTCCCACATTGGGCAAAAGATGCCTGCATTGCAGGGGTGAGACCAGATGACACTCGTGGTCCCTTCCAACTCTGAACAATAGCAGTGGCACCATTAGTGTAGGCCAGGCATAGGCAAACTCCGGCCCTCCAGATGTTTGGGACTACAATTCCCATCATCCCTAGCTAACAGGACCAGTGGTCAGGGATGATGGGAATTGTAGTCCCAAACATCTGGAGGGCTGGAGTTTGCCTATGCCTGGTGTAGGCCTTTAGGGCAGGCAACCCAGGGCCCCACTCAGCAGAATAAGGAGGGGAGGGCCACAAAGCGTCACAGGATTTCCCACCACAATTTGAAGCAAGTGAAGTAATGCACATTGCCACCAAAATAGCACCGCCCCTCAGGAGAACCATTAAGTCCCACATCCAAAATTACCACTGCCCAGCAAAGGCAAATTGTGTGACTGCTTTGGGACAGCTGAGCAACGAATGAGCAACTATGTTCCTCCTTTCAATTCATTATAAGAAATGTTCCATCCCAGTGCATCTCAACCTTTTGGTACCTGGGGGCCTGTTTGGAGATCTTGGAAATGGTCACAGGCACCGCAAAATACCCAGTGCACAGAAGAAAAGCTGGTGGTGCTCAGAACCCCCTAAAAATAAACCAAAACATATATACCTCCCCCCCAAAAAATAAAACACAGGCCAAAAAAAATATCACACAGTGCACCCCTCAGACAATAGGTGACCCCTGCTAAACAACACAAAAAGCCCCAAAAGCCAACAGCCCTCATGAAAATAAAATTACAGTAGTAGTGTAAGGTTGCCTTGGCAGGGACCAAGGGACTGTGTCTAAGATGCCCAGGCGCCAATGGGTGTCATACTCCAGTTGTACACTCTGGCGAGTCATTCCAGCTTTCCACAGCCAAAGAAAACTCTCCAGAAACTTCAGGCTGCCCAATGTGGTTGTCATCTGTACATCTTGTTGTTGTTTAGTCGTTTAGTCATGTCCGACTCTTTGTGACCCCATGGACCAGAGCATGTCAGGCATTCCTGTCTTCCACTGCCTCCCGCAGTTTGGTCAAACTCATGCTGGTAGCTTCGAAAACACTGTCCAACCATCTCGTCCTCTGGCGTCCCCTTCTCCTTGTGCCCTCCATCTTTCCCAACATCAGGGTCTTTTCCAGAAGTCTTCTCGTCTCATGAGGTGGCCAAAGTATTAGAGCCTCAGCTTCAGGATCTGTCCTTCCAGTGAGCACTCAGGGCTGATTTCCTTCAGAATGGATAGGTTTGATCTTCTTGCAGTCCATGGGACTCTCAAGAGTCTCCTCCAGCACCATAATTCAAAAGCATCAATTCTTCGGCGATCAGCCTTCTTTGTGGTCCAGCTCTCACTTCCATACATCACTACTGGGAAAACCATAGCTTTAACTATACGGACCTTTGTGGGCATGGTGATGTCTCTGCTTTTTAAGATGCTGTCTAGGTTGGTGGCCATTAGTCAGCAAAAGCATTCCCTTCCTGCTTTTTTTCTCCTGGGTAGACCCAAAAGTTTGTGACTTTGGATAGTCAGTTTGCATGTCTCCAATACTATGCTATAAAAAGCATTTCAATTAGTCATCAGATTAGCAATGGCTGATTTCCTGTGGTACCATCCAGATGTGGAACTCCAACTCCCATCATCCCCGGCCTGCATCAGGGATGATGGGAGCTGTAGTCCAGCAATATCAGCTCCCTTTGGTTCGCATTGACTGACAGCGACTGCCCAGGGTTTTAGACAGGGGACATTGCCAACCCACCTGGAGATGTGAGAGTTCAATCCTAGGACCTTCTGCATGCAAAACAGTTATTCTACCGCTGAGCAACTCTCACTCCCCTAAAGCAGGTATAGGGAACCTTTGGTCCTCCAGGTGTTGCTGAACTGTAGGCCATTGGACCTAATGGGAGTTATAGTCCAACAGCACCTGGAAGGACAAAGTCTCCTCACACTTGCCCTAAATCATGGTCCAATACTCATGTGTATATGGTTGCATTTGTATGGCATTTTTTCCATTTCCTGGCATTCCCTCGATTGTTACCGTATTTTTCCGTGTATAAGACGCCCCCCTATTTTGGGGGATTCAAAATTAAGAAAACACACTATGCACTATCCGTGTATAAGACGACCCCTTTTTAAAAATTTCAAAAATTTAGGAAACAATATAGTCTTATACACGGAAAAATACGGTAATTTCTGCCTTCTATTTGAGCTTTCACATGGCATAAAAGCCAGTTCCAGAAAGAAAGCAGAATGCAGCTCAAGTTTAGCACTCATTGCCACGTTATTAGCAAACAGATTTTTTCTAGAAGCAAATAACATGAAAATTAGTGTTACACTTGGGCTAGCATTCAATGTCATGTGAAAGCTCAAACAGAATGCAGAAATTAAGAGTGGGGAAGCGTCAGGAAAACGGAATAAACTGCCATTTGAATGCAGCCTATGTCCAAAAAGTGTGGGAATAATTATCTGTTTTTGAGTGCTCATGAATTTGATCTCGGATTTCCAAAAGGTGAGCGTCAACACTGACTAAAATTTGGACTTCCTATGTAATGTATACACTGATATATAATGCAAAGAAAACCATGCATGCTATAGCCCTTAGAGATTTAGGATTTGATTGTTAGTGGCGCATCATCCCTAAGGCTTATAGTGCTTTTGTACATGATGCTTAAATTGCTTTCGAGCCTCATGGACAGAAAGAGATGTTGGAAGTACAACAGAGATCATTCCATGTGTAGCTTAAGGGTTAATTCTTTTCTTAGTGAGTCAGTCAATGAAGAGCAGCAATGGTGGTGGAAATAGCCTTTAGTAACCAAACACAGTGGTGTGATCATCACTAAGGAAGCACATGCTCCAATTGGCTGCATAGTTCTGAGGGTGTTTAGCTCTGTATGTTTAGGTCAATGTCTTCCTGCTATGTGCAAGTAACAAAGACAAAACCTCTCTGTTGTTTTCTCCACAGACTTTACACGGTTTTTGTTCAGTTTACTTAGTAAAGTGTTATGAATATTTATTTTCCCTCTGGACTCTATTTGCTCTATTTAAGTGAAGAGAGAGAGAGAAATTTGTAGTGCAATTGAGCATTCTAGCCAATGTGTACATATTGCATTAGCATCAGAAACCTCATCTTAAAACGCAGCTTCAGATCTTGCAGGAGGACAAGATCTTCTGTGGCTTCAGCTGATTTAGGTCACATCCATAGTTTACCCGTCAAGCATTCTTATACAACTTTAAACAGATATGGCTCCCCCCTCCAAAGAATCCAGGGGACTGTACTTTGCTAAGGGTGCTGAGAGTTGTTAGGAGACCCCTCACAGAGCTACAATTCCCAGCACCTTTAACAAACTACATTTCCCAGAGAGAGCCATGACTGTTAAAGAGGTATAGGAGTGCAGATGTGACCTTAGCTCTCGGGCAAAAAGAAAACCTACATCTGAACTGGATCGTGCAACTGTATCTTATGCAACTCCATACATTTTAAACTCAACCACACAGAGTATATGCACAAGATATCATCAACAACGTTAGAGACTTACGCAATATATTTTTTGCAGTTTACATTACACAATGTAAAACAGAAAAAACACACACATATTCTCCTGAGGATGAGCACAACAGATTTTTAATAATTGCCTCTAATGATGCAATGCCATCGTGTTAATTTTCAAGCAGGCAGCATTCCTTTCCAATGACTAGAAACTTTGGGAAGGGGAACAGCTTTTATCCTTGGCCTTAAGGAGTTGACCATTCAAATAAAATCTCCATCTTGGGAGAGGATTTAAAAAAAACAAAACTTGGGAAGTGGAGAAAACTTTTAAACTGAGCTAGTTGTGGTAGGGAAGAATTCTCTACTTACTTTTTAAAATGCTGGGCTAAATAGGTCCATGGCATGTTGAAGTAAGTGATGGCAACCAAGATGTTTTTCTGCTGGAAAAGGTTTGAGGTTGAATACATTCTAGAGTCAAGCAAGCTGATTTTGAACTAGTTACAGGAAGAACTGAAAATATGGAACCAGTAAAAGTGTGTGATAGAGTTGTATCAGGCAAGAATGCGCTACAGGATGACCACTTGCAGATCACAAAAAAGAGGACTAAAGAGGCCACTGATTTGCATACAACTTGCACTTGCTAATTTATAAGTATAGGTGCACCTTTAGTAACAGTTACTATGATTTACGCAAAAATACGAAACATCTCACCATAATGGAGAACACAGTGACCAAGGGACGATGTGCAGTCTGACTGCCGCTGGCTTTTGATGAGTAACTTTCCATTCTCCTTCAACGTCACTCTTTTCTTAACGTTCTTTACTTTTGAAATCAACTTGCACCCTACAGCTCTTCAGAAAGAGGAGCGAAGGTGAGTCTGTGATTCTTCAGAAGTTGTTGGGCTCCAACTTCCATCAACCCCAGCCAGCATGGTCACTGGACAGGGAGGGTGGGAGTTGTAGTTCAGCAACATCTGGAGGCACAAAGGTTCCAGGAGAGCCCAGAGAAGAGTCATCGCTCAGGGGCAGAACATCTGCATTGCATGCATAAAGTCCCAGGTTCGATTCTAGCATCTCCAGGCATGGCTAGGAAAGACATTCTGTCCGAAACCAGCCACAGCCAATCAGGGTAGACCAGATAGTCAGTCTGGTGCCCTCCAGATGTTCCTGAACTACAACTCCCATCATCCCTGATCATTTGCCAAACTGGCTGTGGCTAATGGGAATTGGAGTTCAACAGTATCTGGAGGGCATCACAGTGCCTCCCCCCTGGAGTAGACAATACTGGATGGCAGCTTCCTGCGTCCACTTGAGATAATGTGCATGAGAATGGCCCACTTAATTTAAACAGAGACAGCTCTCTTTTTCCATATTTTAATTTTGGGGAAGGACTGAAGTTCAGTGGGAGAGCACTGACTTCGTTTCTGCTGGATCCTTTCTGCTGCCCCTGACATCTCCAAGAAGGAGACACTGCGGGGCTGGGAATGGGCTTGGAAAGACTTCTGAAACCCCTAAGACCTGCTGTCAGTCAGACTAGGCCAGCCTTCATCAACCTGCTGATGGCTGGGGCTGAGCCCCAAACTTCTGGGGCACCTGGTCAAGTTAGCAAAGGCTGAGCTAGACTGTACTGAGTTAGATGGACCAATGTGGTGACTCTACATGAGGCAGCTTCCTATAGCCCTAAATAGTAGCAATAAATAGACTTAAGCCTAATTCAGTATAATTGAACTCAATGGGTCTTACTTGGGAGCTGACATGTACAAAGTATGTGCAAAGTATTGGCAAACCAAATGTCAACTTTAATATATATTTCTAAAGTTTATCTTGAGAAACACAGTAGCCCAAAAGAAATTTGTATGTTTCTTTTCTTCCACCCCACCCTTTGAAGGTATAGCTCTCAGTAACCCATAAGTTAACAACACATGGCTCTTCCATGCTCAACAGGATTTCTCCATTCATTTCAATGGCGGTGAATATCTGCCTGCCTTTCATTTTAAAACAGAGAAATCCTGGCATACAGAAAAGCGTATGCACAGATTTGGAACAGAGAATGATATCTTACATTTTGCGAATGCATACTGGCTTCATCTTCTAATCTATACCTTGAGTTTGCTATATTATGCCACATATTAATTAATTAATTAGATATCTCACCCACCCTTCACCATAAGTTCCCAAGGCAGGTTACAACAATACAATAATCCAGTTATCATGCCCCTCAACATTTCTCTGATGAAAATACAGCTGCCCTATTTAATATTATCATTGCTTTTTTCTAAAAAAAAAAAAATGTTTAGGGGTACTCTCATTTTGACTCAAGAAAATCACCTGGAAAGGAAATGAAGCCGTCATCAGATTCACAAAATGTTTAGGGGTATGTGTACCCCTGCATCCCCCCAGAAAAAAAACACTGATGATGATGATGATTATCATCATCATCAACATCATCATCATTATTTATACCCCACACATCTGACTGGGTTGCTCCAACCATTCTGGGTGACTTCCAATATATATGAAAACATCATAAAACATTAAACATTTTTTAAAAACTTCACTACACAGGGCTGCCTTCAGATATCTTCTATAGGTTGTATAGTAACTTATCTCCTTGGCTCGGGGGTTGGAAAACTCCATACCCTCCAACATTTCTCTAATGAAAATAGGGATGTCTTAAGGAAAAGTGGGACATTCCGAGATCAAATCAGAAACCAGAATGTCTTCTGTAAATCCAGGACTGTCCATGGAAAGTAGGGACACTTGGAGGATTTGAGTTATAAAAGCAGGCTCCCAGGTTGCTTTTTAATGGGCAGTTATGCTTCACTTCAAATCCTGCCCTCTCCTTCCCTGGCAATCATCACTGTGTCCTAAATCTTTCTGTGGAACTGAAATTCTGCTGCACGTCATCTATCTACCTTTTGAATCTTGCATGTTCTTGTAAATTGCTTCAGGACTCCTTCTGGATGTGTTGTAAACAACAGGGAAATGCACGAGATGTGCTAAGAGAGGCCAACTGCCTAATAAACAGACCCATTTCATTTTATACCGCTGTTCTTGACGTTTTGCAGGCAGTTCCCAAGGTTAATCTCAGGGGACCGGGGGCACGACTGAGCTCAGATCTGATCCAGACCCAGTTCAGTATGGATCTCACTGTGGGGAGATGAAGAAAAATGGGAAATTTTGTCATCGTAAAAGGGTGTCAAGTGAGGTGGTGCATTTTTTCTAAAACGGAGGGTGTGAGAAGAAAAAGGATTTCGGGGAGGGAAGAAGATTTTAGAGCAGCCAGAGGAAATATTTTGAATGGATAATGGCACCCAAGAAATTAGATTCCTGGAAGGAAAGGAAAAACACCCTCTCTTGTTTACAGGCCGGCTGGTACCAAGCTCGCCAGTCTATTAGCAGAAGCTATAAATCACTCTCTCGTTCCCATCATGTACACAGAGCAGAGAATTTGGCATTTAGATGTTCTAATGACCTAAACTGCACTTGGGAAAGAATTTCTACCTTAATCCAGAGACAGATGAGTTCTGATAACGGTCTGCTTTCCATTGCGAGACCCACAAATCTGCCAGCTGTCCTGTTGGTCGAGTTTTGCTCTGGGACTGATCTACCTCTTTATCGCCACCCTGAATGCCGACTACAAAGCTGTCTCTGTTTAAATTAAGCGGGCCAGAACAAAACTTACAGTGACATTTGCCTGTATAGAAGTATCTGTTTTCATTTGTACTGTCATCCCAAAGGTAGAGGTGTGAACCAAGAAGCCTTTGATTCAAACCTTAGCTTTGGTAGAAACTTATTCGATGGAATTATATACTGATTTCCTAATTTATACAGTGCCACCCGTGAGCATGGTGGCACTTTAAAGATTACAAAAGGACAGGTCCCTGCCCTAATCTGCTTACAATCTAAAGACATATGCAGGGGAAACAAACAGGGAAAGCAAAAGGGAAGCAGGACTGTACAATGAAATAATATGCAGTTTCTTCAATTGTGCATGCTTTGTCCCTCAAGCCTCCCATCTCTAATGTGCTATTTTTCTAGAAAAAGATGTGCCAGGACTCACCATGAACACCTCCCTCGTTCTCTTAGAATGACAATGGCACTCACCTGAGAGGTGCCAGGACTGAGTTCTGGTGAGTTCTGGCCAAAAAACCCCAAAAACCCCAGTGTAGTACAGTCATACCTCATGTTACAGACGCTTCAGGTTACGTGTTTTCAGGTTGCGGACTGCGGGAAACCTGGAAGTACGGGAAGGGGTTACTTCCGGGTTTCGTCGCTCATGCATGCGCAGAAGCGCTAAATTGTGCTTCACGCATGCGCAGAAGCGCCAAATCGTGCTGGCGCAGACACAGCACTTCAGGATGCAAACGCTGCAGGTTGCGGACGTGCCTCCGTTGCGGACGTCTTCCGCAACCTGAGGTTCCACTGTACTCGTTCTTGACTACCTCACAGGGCTGTTGTAAGGGTTACAGAGTTAGTATATCCAGTGGTATTTGAGCATTTGGAAGAAGCATCCGTAAAAGGCCGTAAGTTAATATTAGCAACATAGAAAATAATCAATTGTTGTGGCAAGTTATGTCAGTTCCATAATTCCTTGGGAAGAAGGATTGACTATTAAACCACTCTTGGAAATGTCACTCTTTGAAGGGAGTAGGGGTCTTCTAACTACCCCCAGCCCCCTTGACAAACCACAGAACCCAGGATTATGAGGGGAAGCCATGACTGTTTAAAGTGGAATGATACTGCTTTAAATGTGTGGTGCAGATGGAGCTACCCCTGATGGTGGGCAGTTTCAGTGCCCTCACTCTTCCTCCTTATGGTTATTTATGTTTAAATTGGACAGACGGGACAGTCCTTCAAATGGAGGAATGCTTTCTATGAGGTGGGACACCTGGCCATTATTTCTTTACATTGCATCGTATATACTGAAGGTCGACTCCGCAGTAAAGTTATAATGGCGATGCAGCAAAATGCCCCCATTAAGGAAACGAAATGGAAATATCGGCCTGCTGGAGGGATTCCCAATATATGCGGAAGTAGGGGGAGGAAATGGGAGCCCCCTCCCCCTAAAGGCAGGTGGGGGAGAGAGCCCAATGAGAACTCAACATGCTCAGTGGCAAGATACTGAGGGTTTGGGGTGGGAGGGTCAAGAAAAGAGGGGGAAAGGAGTGGAATACAGAGGTCTCCCCACTTGCCGTGTGTTCAACTTGCGCACGACCGTGTAAATGCAAGGTGAGGAGGGAAATTAAATACATCAGTTTAATCTGCAAAAAGGCACAAAGAGGGCAAAAACAGCCCCCCCCCCAAAAAAGAGAGAGTGGGGAAACTGAAAAAATGGCTGAAAATGAGTGGGGGAAATGGCTAGCAGTTCAGGGTACCGGTGTACCTCTAAATCACAGCCAAGCACTTTGGAGTACCAGTCTGCCTGCCTTGTCATTGTTTCCACATCGTCCTCCAGCGATGAGGAAGACTGACAGCTGCCATTGCCACCATTCATACCAGTCTGGTAAGTGCTGCTGCTTTTTAAAAGGGGTTTTTTGAAGGTTTCCAGAGGCAGACTCCCAAAAGAATTTATTGTTGTTGCTGTTGTAGCGTGCGTATGCCACTCAGTGGTCATCAAACGGGCTTCCAGTCAAAAGTAGGGTGGATAAAAATCTATGATTTTTTAAAAAAATAATTATAATTCGTTTTTTTTTTATTTAAATCAGATTTTTTTTATTTAAATTGGATTTTTAAAATAAAATGCTTTTGGAGGAAAAATCTTTCTAAAGATAGTTTTCTGTTTAAGTTACATTATCGTCCAAAGGCTATTCATTGGGAAATAAGGATTTGTTTTAAGTTTCTCATGTGTGCTAAAACTCAGTCTAAGTTGTGAGGTGTTGTTTTTTTTTAAAAAATAACCACATCAGTTAACAAACATGGATACATATGCTATAATGCTATTGTTTTAGTTAAATAAATTGTTTAAATTGTTATTAAGGAAATGATTATTTTTCTCCTTCCGATAAAGTACAGCAGAAAAGTTGTCCAAATATAAATAGTTAACTTCTTAAACCTCACAATAATTTCATAATTATCTCTCTATGTATTTCTAATAGTATAACCAAATCAGTAATTTTTGATAGAACTGTAAAAACTACTCTGAAAATTTATTACTCCAAAAATGAAACCTTCATCTGGTTGTCAATATTAAGATTATACCAGCAAGAATGAGTCTTTTTGTAAAAAAAAACCCTATTTAAATCGAGTCTTACTGACTAGTGATTTAAATCGTGATTTAAATCAAATCCACCCTGGTCAAAAGTGAATATAATATGACAGCAAATAAGAGATGTATCAACAAATACACAGGATCCAGACACTATAAAAAGCAAGGAGGGAATGGTTAGTAAACAGGGGTTTCTTACTTAGGCACTGAAGTCTTTAGCCACACAACTATCCTACAACATCAGCTGAATATTCAGTAATCTGGCCCAGGATCTAGCAAATGGATACCTTGTTGTATTTAGCATTCTTGCAATCTTATATAGAGGTTCGTGCCTGTAAGCAGACAGGGCAGCAGACAGGGATACAGCCTAACCCAAGCCTAACAAATCAAACAAAAAGTGCGAGGAAGTGATGAAATTTGATGAATGGAGAAAGAAAGTAAAAGCCCATGAAATAAGTGAAGGTTATCTGAAAGAATATTAGATTGCATCTTGATGTATCTGTTTGGACAACTGCCTTCGAAAACCATCCCCCTTACAATTTTTGCTGGGACGCCTCTTTGCGGACTCTCTTTATTTATGGAATGCTGATCTAACTCTGATCTTCTGGGGCTGATGAACACATCGCTGTCTATGGAAAGTACAGCATCTTGAAGGAGTGCAGTGAGGTAATATAACTGAACTCCAGTTATAGTTGACATCTCGTGAAGTCAACGAGGCCTTGGCTCAACACAACATACTTTCTCCCCACCCCCCATCCCACTTAGATGAACCTTATAAAGAAAATTTATGACTTTCTGCGGCTCTATCAGAAGTATGCCAACTGCTGGGCTAACCGGCTATCTAAAGCAAAGTGACTCTCAGAGCTCAGTTCTCAGTGTGTGTTGTGATGCATGTGTTGTAATTTCACAGGAAACTGATTGCTTTTTCTCAGGTACATTTCTTAGTTTTTGCAATGTTCGCTTACTGATTTACTTAACGTTTTTTAAACGAACCACTCCTACAAAGTGTTCCTCCATCCATAGCCTTTAAACTTTTTTGAGATTCCCCTTTAATACCATTGCTGTAACCTGGACTCTATTTTTATTTTTTATATGAACCAACCCAGATCTTACACTCATCACCTGAGAACCTTCTTCATGTGTCTCTGGCAGCTGGCAACATAAGAATGGGCCTTTTCTGCAGTGGCTCCCGATTTGTGAAATACTCCCCTCAGGGAGGCTGGTCTAGCACCTTTCTTATATATCTTTAGGCACCAGACAAAAATGTTTCTCTATAACCAGGCCTATGGCTTTTCAAATGTGTTTGTGGGAAGCGGGTTATTGGTTTGTTTTTGTTTTATTTTGTATTCTCATTCCCTATTTTTCTGTTGCAAACCGCCTTGGCATCTTCGGTAAAGGGCAATATAATAATAATAATAATAATAATAATAATAATAATAATAATATACTTTTATATATACTGTCCAATCCACTCCTCTCTCTAGAGTAACCAAAGGTTGTTGTTGATGATGTTGAAGATGGAAGCTCCTGCTTCCTCAAATGACCGGTACTTGTATCAATAGGAAAGCTATCAATCAATTTCTAAGAGGGTTACTTTTCCTTTGATAGTGTACCCCATCATGAGGGAAAGTGAGGGAAACCAGGCACAGGGCCTTCTTGGTAGTGGCGCCCGCTCTGTGGACCACCCTCTCATCAGATATCGAGAAAATAAACAACTATCTGACTTTTAGAAGACATCTGAAAGCAGCCCTATTTAGGGAAGTTTTTAATGTTTGATCTTTTATCGTGTTTTTGGTATTCTGTTGGGAGCTGCCCAGAGTGCCCCAGCCAGGTGGGCAGGATATAAATAAATTATTATTATTATTATTATTATTATTATTATTATTACGCTTGCTTGAATTCCTTTTTCTGTGCAACTGTACACAAGGTACAGGGGGCTGCCATAAACAGGCAGTGGAGGTATCAGTCATGGAGATTGCTTTTAAACACAAAGGAATTTTGTTGCTTTCTGCAAATGATCGTTCCTCCCCTGTCCCAATATCCCGCCCCCCATTTTCTCTCTGTTTTACTATTAATTACCACACTGTGTGCTTTTTTACTACTCGGGATGGGGGATGGGAAGGGCTTTTTTTTTTTTCTCGTCAGAACTCGCCAGAACCCAGTTCCGGCGCCTCTCAGGTGAGCACCATTTCCATTCTAAGACAAAAAAGCGAAGTGTTAATGGTGAATTCTGACCCTTTTTTCTTTTGAAAAATATCACTGGGAAGAAACAGTCTGCATGAAGGCCTCTTTCAGGGGTGGGGTCAAATATGGCCCTTCAACCTCTGTCTCTGGCCCTCAGGAAACACTTTTCCCTAACCAGCGTGGGCTGTATTTGTCTGTGTGAGAATGAGTGAGTGTCTGAGAATGGGAATTTAACTTATTCGGAATCATAACATTCCTATCAGCGATTGCTTGCTGTAGATGCCAAGCTCACTTGCGACTTTCTATCATCATCATCATTTATAATTTGTATACCGTCTTTCTATCTTACAATACTCAAGGCGGTTTACAAGCTGAAGAAACAAAAAATGTACACCTTATAACAATCTAATGCAATACAAAAATGTAGCAATAAAACAAAACTTTAAAATAAGCAACCTACACCAAAAAAGTAACATTCAACAATCATTAGAACAGTATAAAAGAATAATGTCAACATATAAAAGTTAAAAAGAAATCCACTCAACAGTTACAATAAATAATTTCTAAACTATAGTCAATAAAACAACGGCAAGCCACAGTTCATAAAATAATACAATACAAATTGAGAAGCAGAGGCTAGAGGGTGGAGCAAGGCAGGTGGAAGGAGGCCTTGCCTGAGGAAGTCTCTATGAAATATGACACAGTGCACTACTTGCAGAATGATGCCTGTAGTGACATCATCTAAAGATTTTTTCCCCCCTTTGGAGATACTCTTTTTTACCCATGCAAACTTACACAGTTAAAACTCATATGACTGGTTGACTTAAATTTCTTTGCTCAAGTTTCAGCCTTTGCAAAATGAGCTGGCGCAGTAGGGCATGATGAGTTTTCAGCTTTCAAATTCCCAAAACGAGGGTTGCTAAAAAGTTGCAGCATGACCTAGGAATTCCAAAGATATTCTAGCTAAAATAATATAGTTTTGCTTGGTAAGTAAAATGTGTGTACAGTTGCATGGAAGTCATTAAAAATGATTGCCAAGTACTTGCAGATTATTATTAATCATCAACAACGTCATCATTACCCAACATTTTCAGAAGGTAATATTAAAATTCCTTGGTTTTCTGAAAGCAGTTTATGTGCTTCTTCGCCAAACATAGACTTACCAAGCTTAATAATAATAATAATAATAATTTTATATGTTGTCTGATGACAATAATAATAGCAGATTTTAATTCCTCACACCCATAAGTGGGGGGAGAAAGCAAAAATTAAGTTTCACCCCCTAAAATGACATGCCCTCCCTGTTGGGGGACTCGCAGCCTTTCAGATATTTCTGGAGTTCCATCAGCCCCAGTCACCATCCCAGGTCAGGGATGATGGCAGCTGGAATCTAGCAACATCTGGAGGGCCACAGATTCCCATCCCTGGAACTACAGGAAGAAGAACTAGATTTTAAAAGATAGCCCTAAATAACGCATCTTTTTAAAATGATCTGGGTTGCAATTGGTATCTATAATTTCATAGTTAGAAGCATTTAAATACATGGTTTGGGGAAAAATCTTGCCCTTTGTTTTCTTATTGTTGGGTACAATCTCTCTAAGGTGAAGCATTTTTTAAGTCCCATTTATTTATTGGCATGTAGCAAATGTGGGTCAAACCACATGTGATGCTAAACATATCTTTGAATTTTGTGACTGGGGTTCTCCTCCTCTTTCTCTTTTTTAAAAAAACAGCAACCTAACAGCAGCTGCAAGGAGGAACAGATTCAGATCAAAGACGCTAGCACAGGGTGTTTCTCTTTCGAAAATGCTCCCCCAAAGCCAGGGGTGAAATGGCAGCTTTTTGGGATCTTTCAGCAGGAAGTGGATGCATAGGGAAAGGGTTAAACCCGCCCCCGCCCCTTGTGCTGCTGTGCTGATCTAGGTCACCCTCCCCATCCCTGTGGCTGCTTTTAGTTAAAGAGAGAGAGGTGGAAAGAAACACATTTAGCATAATTTGTCATTTGACCCTAAATATTAGACCGAGAAGGCTGAGCTAGGAGAATGGTTCTCTCTGATGTGCTAGCTTTCTGTGGGAAAAGATTTTATATATATATATATATATATATATATATATATATATATATATGAAAACATGGAATAACCTGCAGGGGAAAAATTGAGTTCAGTTTGCATTTAAAAGCAACCCCACCAAATTCATGCTTTCCGGAACAATATTCCAACTGAACCACAGCAATCTGTTGAAATTTGCCCTTACCTGAATTTTGCAACCATTTGTTGTGTACAGAAATGCACGTGCTGGGGGAAGAGTGTGCATGAAAATCCATATATTGTTTTAAAAAAACAGCACAGAGAAATGCAAAAAGGTGTGTACCTGGCAAAATTGCACACAAACATGTGTATATTAGGAAAATTTGCACTAAAATGCTGGTACATTTTCATGAGAACTTTAAAAAAAGAAAAAAAGGCACCCTCAAACTAATGGGAAAATGTGAAGCACTGAACCTAACACTGGAAAAATGACAAACTTTGAGAAACCATCCCTAGTCTGAAGTAGTACAGTCCATAAACAGGTTGACCCACATTGTGACTATTAAAGGTAAAGGTAAAGGGACCCCTGACCATTAGGTCCAGTCATGGACGACTCTGGGGTTGCGGCGCTCATCTCGCTTTATCGGCCGAGGGAGCCGGCATACAGCTTCTGGGTCATGTGCCCAGCATGACTAAGCCGCTTCTGGCGAACCAGAGCAGCGCACAGAAACGTCGTTTACCTTCCCACCGGAGTGGTACCTATTTATCTACTTGCACTTTGACGTGCTTTTCAACTGCTAGCTTGGCAGGAGCAGGGACTGAGCAATGGGAGCTAACCCCATCGCTGGGATTCGAATTGCCGACCTTCTGATCGGCAAGTCCTGGGCTCTGTGGTTTAACCCACAGTGCCACCTGCCTCCCTTATTGCGTTCTATTAGGCTTGCTATATTTCAACAAGTGAAAATCCAGACACAAAAGTTATTAAGCTTTTAGGGGGGTGTTCAGCTTTCCCCCCCAAAAAAATCTCCCTCCCGCCCCCATGATGTTTTGGAGCTCTTTTTTAGGAATTTTGGCAAAAAAAAAACCCCACTTCACGGACATTTAAACCAGCTTTTGAAAATTCTACCCAGACACTATTTTTCACGAACAAATCCCAGCTATGTCCAGGAAATTATTGACTTATGGCAGCCCGATCTATGCATATTCATAATTCTTCATTTTTTGCATATTTGCATATGCATGTTCCATTCCCCTTCCCCTTTCCTCTCTCCAGCATGTTGCACATTTTACTCACCCCTTAACGTTTTAATCTGTTTCTGCTCTTTCAGGCCATCCGTTGCACTCTGGTAAGCTGCAGCTGCCAGTGCTTCAAACCTGGGAAAATAAACCAGCGGCAATGTGACCAGTGTCGGCATGGATGGGTAGCACATGGTAATAAACCTCAAAGAATTTTGAAAGAAAATAAAAAATCCTTGCCTTACCAAGTAGCCACCAGCTGTCTAAGTACAGTTTTCAGTTTATTAACGGAGACATTGCAAAGTCACAAATAACAAAACTCAGAAATTGCTAATTGTCTATAGAGTCATATTCAGCTCAGCTTTGGGATAGTAAAGCACTTCTCTGGTGCAATCCATAACTAGTATGAATTGCTACGTAACTAATAGCAATTTGCTTTACAAGAGGATTACATAATTCTGAATGTTCAGAACACAATTTAGGCTAAACTGGGGACAGTTTACAGGGAACCAGGCAGAGGGCCTTCTTGGTATTGGCACCCACCCTGTGGAATGCCCTCCCATCATATGTCAAGGAGATAAGCAACTACACAAACTTTAGAAGACACCTGAAGGCAGCTCTGTATAGGGAAGTTTTTGATGTTTAATATTTTAGTATGTTTTTTGTATGTGCTGCCCCAGAGTGGCTGGGGCAACCCAGTCGAATGGGCGGGGTAAAAATATGGTGATGATTATTACAGTCAACATGGTGCCTTCCAGGTGGAAAAATGAGAAATGGGGCGAACCAAAGTTCACAGCCCCGTCCATCCCTAGCCTAGCCAACCTAGCAAAGGGATCATGCACCAAACCAGAAATTTGCACCCAACCCCTCCCCAAGCTTAAATAATTGGGAAATACTGCTCAAGTTCAAACCCCTAGTACCCCAATGGTGTTCTTTTTGTCTAATTGTCTCATACCCATTTATGCATAAGTAGTCACTCGCCTTTTGTTTTCCTTTTCTTTTCAGCCTTAAGTAAGCTAAGGATCCCTAACCTATACCCAACAAGCCAAGTGGAAATAGTCCAGTCTAATGTGGTATTTGATATAAGCAGCCTCATGCTTTATGGAACTCAGGCAGTTCCTGTCCGTCTCAAAATCCTCTTAGATCGGCTTTTCAGCGTCCTGAAGCAAGAAGAAGTCATTCATATCCTCCATGCTCTGGACTGGACACTTCAAGACTACATACGTGGATATGTCTTACAGGTACATCTCTAGGTCTTCGCTCCCTCTAGGAGGGTGACAAGAGAATCGGGGCCGAAATGAGGCCGAGAAACCAGTGGTCTGCGTGTTTGTGGGCACCCCAACATCTGGAGAAGTGCAAAGAATTTTTAAGAAAAGCTTTCTGCATGCTTTGTTTACTGAGAAGTTTGAATGTTTGTGAACGTTCTGCTGGCATCCCAGTTGCATCAGAACTTGAAGCTGCACTAGCACCCTTATAACGCAGACATTCACCATAAATTTATCCATTTCAGTTCTGCCATTTTGAACTTTTCCAGCATCATCAGTACACCGGGGCAGAAGTTAGCTCCTTATGTTTACAGAAATGCCTCTCCTCTGTTGGCATTCTTGTTCCAATGTAAAGCAGCATTATGATTTATGTTATGGCACGAATAAATATTTCATGGCACTTGATAATTTTGCTTTTTAGTGTTAGGATTAAAAAATATGGGCTCAATTACCTTGAACCTTTTTTGCATGAAAAATTGATGATGATACATTCTTCATCATCTTAGAGAAGTCTTGTGTGCCCAGTGAAAACCCTCAGTAGGCCATCAAATACATGTTCTGTGATAAAATATTTATTACAGATATTGGGGAAAGTTAGGTATGGCTGGAGTTTGAAAGAACTTGCAACACTCTAGTGTAATTACAGCTGTGCTCTGTAAACACTGGCGAAGGATCGATGCAGGTTCATTTGTTCTCTGATCTTAGTAGCTTGGAAGATTATTAAACTTGCAGTGGAAGAATACTTGACTTAAATGTGGAGCTAAATCTTCTTCTGATTGCTCCATCTCTCTCTCTCCATTCGTACATGTTGTTTCGCCGGTACACGTCTTAATTTTTTTCTGGGGAGATTGCAAAATACTTTCTAATCATCGGTGCTGTGTTAGAAAGAACAAATGTTGGGGTGATTGAAATCCAAGAATAATATATATCACAGAATTGCCAAAATAAGCTGCCCTCAGCCTTAGCAAATTGTGTGGATTTCGCTAGACCTGGTCCTGAATGGGGTAACTGTGCTCCTGAAGGACCAGTGCGCAGCCTGGGAGTCATTCTGGACTCTCCAACTGTCCATGGAGGCACAGGTAAATTCTGTGTCCAGGGCAGCTGTTTATCAGCTCCATCTGGTACGCAGGCTGAGATCCTACCTGCCCGCGGACTCTCTCGCCAGAGTGTTGCATGCTCTGGTTATCTCTCGCTTGGACTACTGCAATGCGCTCTATGTGGGGCTACCTTTGAAGGTGACCCGGAGACTACAACTAATCCAGAATGCGGCAGCTAGACTGGTGACTGGGAGCGACCACCAAGACCATATAACACCAGTCTTGAAAGACCTACACTGACTCCCAGTATGTTTCCAAGCACAATTCAAAGTGTTGGTGCTGACCTTTAAAGCCCTAAATGGCCTCGGTCCAGTATACCTGAAGAAGTGTCTCCACCTCCATCATTCAGCCTGGACACTGAGGTCCAGCGCCGAGGGCCTTCTGGTGGTTCCCTCCCTGCGAGAAGCCAAGTTACAGGGAAGCAGGCAGAGGGCCTTCTTAGTAGTGGCACCCACCCTGTGGAACGCCCTCCCACCAGATGTCAAAGAGAAAAATAACTACCAAACTTTTAGAAGACATCTAAAGGCAGCCCTGTTTAGGGAAGCTTTTAATGTTTAATAGGTTATTGTATTTTAGTGTTTTGTTGGAAGCTGCTGGAGTGGCTGGGGAAACCCAGCCAGATGGGTGGGGTATAAATAATAAATTATTATTATTATTATAAATTATTATAGACAAAGAAGCCTAACCTCTTAGAAAACTGCCTGGAATAGTGATGGGCAGCTGTGGATTCCTGAGCTGGATCCTGACCTGCTCACCCTCCCCACCCTGCACTTCCAACTCTGGCCATCACTTGGTCACTTTATAGGAAGGGCTGTAACTCAGTGGTAGAGCCTCTGCTTTGCATGCAGGTGGTCTCAGATTCAGGTTCATTTCCGGGTATCTCCATGTAGGGGTGGGATAGACCCCTGCCTGAAACCCTGTAGGGTTGTTGTCAGTCACTGTGGACAATACTAAGCTAGATGAGCCTAATGCTAACCCTAAGACACAACCCTCACCTTGTGTCTATTTAGTCTGAGCTGCCCCCTACCAAAAAACAGTACAAATCAGCAATGCCACCGCGGCTACCTTTGAAGGTAACCCGGAAACTACAACTAATCCAGAATGCAGCAGCTAGACTGGTGACTGGGAGGGGCCGCCGAGACAACATAACACCGCTCCAGAAAGACCCACATTGGCTCCCAGTATGTTTCTGGGCACAATTCAGACTGTTGGTGCTGACCTTTAAAGCCCTGAACAGCCTCGGCCCAGAATATCTGAAGGAGCATCTCCACCCCATCACTCAGCCAGGACACTGAGGTCCAGCTCCAAGGGCCTTCCGGTGGTTCCCTCCCTGTGAGAAGTGAGGTTGCAGGGAACCAGGCAGAGGGCCTTCTTGGTAGTGGCGCCCGCCCTGTGGAACGCCCTCCCATCAGATGTCAAGGAAATAAACAACTATCTCACATTTAGAAAACATCTGAAGGCGGCCCTGTTTAGGGAAGTTTTTAATGTTTAATGTTTTATTTATACCCAGCCAGATGTTTATTATTATTATTATTATTATTATTATTACTACTACAGTGGTACCTCTGGATGCGAACGGGATCCATTCCGGAGCCCTTTCGCATCCTGAAGTGAACGCAACCCACGTCTGCACGTGCACGGGTCGCTATTTGCCGCTTCCGCACATGCGCGTGACGTCATTTTGAGCGTCTGCGCATGCGCGAGTGGCAAAACCTGGAAGTAACACGCTCCGTTACTTCCGGGTTGCTGCGGAGCGCAACCCGAAAATGCTTAACCCAAAGCTACTTCAACTCGAGGTATGACTGTGTTATTATTATTGCCATCCTGACCCCAAATATAGCCCTTTCAAACTCCCATTGAAGCAAGGGACAAGGCAAACACAGTTCCCCTAGCCTGCTTCCTCTGTGGTTATCATGGTGCGTGGAGCATCTTTCACCTGTTCTGGCAAGCAGGATCCCAGGTGTGTTGTACTGCAAGTGAGTGGGACGAGTGACAGGACATCAGAAGGAGTGGGTGAGTGGAGCATGTCTGTCTTGTCTCCTTTTTTACTGGGAGGTGGAGAAGGCCATGCAGAGCAGCAACTTGAGCACACAGGAACATAGGGAGCTGATTCAGAATGTTGGTCTGTCTAGTTCAATATTGTCTACACTAACTGACAGCAGCTCTTGAGGGTTTCAGGCGTGGCTCTTTTCTGGCCACACTTGGGGACACCGGGGATTGAACCTGGGACTTGAATCTGAATGCAAAGCAGATTATCTGCCGCTGAGCTATGGCCCTTCCACTTTGCAAGTTAAGCATAAGCATCTCAAGGGGAGGTAGGCAACTTTGTGCTTTCAAATACCATTGGGTTACAAACCTCATCAGCTCCAGCCAGTATGACCAATGGTCAAGGATTATGAGAGTTACAGTCCAACAATATCTATGTTAGCTGCCCCTGCACTGAAGCATCCATCTGAATTTGATGTTGGTGTGTTCCTCTTTTACGTACAGTGTTGCCTGTTGTCTTTTTAAGGATGCTGCAGGAAAGGTCCTGGACCACTGGAGTATCATGACCAGTGAAGAAGAACTGGCTACTTTGCAGCAATTTCTGCGCTTTGGCGAGACCAAGTCCATTGTGGAGTTAATGGCGATTCAGGAGAAAGAAGGGCAGTCCATCGTCATCCCCACAACCGCAGCCAATATGGATATTAGGGCATTCATCGAAAGCTGTAGTCAGAGGAGTGCAAGCCTCCCGGCTTCCTTGGACAAAATGAACCCTGTCAACATCCACCACTTTGAGAACGTTGTCAACAACATGGCCTTCATGTTGCCATTTCAGTTTTTCAGTCCTGTTCCTCCGCCCCTCATAGGTTCACCCCCTGAGAGGCTTTTGATGGAGCAAAGTCAGGACTGCAGCAATGAACTCAAGCAAGATGTTCCTATGCAGTTTGCGGAAAACAGCTTCCTAACTTCCGAGTCTTCATTTCAAGGTGAAAAGGAGGTGGCCTCGACCAGCCCAGATATCGCTTTGAAGGACGACACTTCTCCAAGCGATTTAAGTTCGCCCGGCAGCATCACAAAGCCTGAAATGAGCCAGCTCTCCCCGGAAAGTAAAATAAAATCTGTCGATAAAAACGGCTTCGCCACGAGGAGAGGGCGTGTTTTTTGTACAGCGTGCGAAAAGACCTTTTACGACAAAGGGACTCTGAAGATCCACTACAACGCTGTCCACCTGAAGATCAAACATAAATGTACCATTGAAGGATGCAACATGGTCTTTAGCTCCCTCCGGAGCCGAAATCGACACAGTGCCAACCCCAACCCTAGGCTTCACATGCCAATGAACAGGAACAACCGGGATAAAGATCTGAGAAACGGGTTGGCCATCACCGGACTGGAAGAGAACAAACGGACGGATTTTAATATTTTGCCTCCCGACAGTAGATCCGTTTCCAGCTACGGAAGCTCTTGCAGCGACTCAAAGACACAGCCAGGTTTTCACAGTACTGGCCAAAATGGCATTCTCTTTCCAAACTTGAGGACCGTGCAGCCAGTTCTTCCATTCTATCGCAGTCCGGTCACACCGGCTGAACTTGCAAATACTCCCGGCACCCTTCCTTCCCTACCTCTGGTTTCCTCGTCAATCCCTGAGCCACTGGTTTCTAACGAATCGCCCTTCGATGCACTGCCCAAGAAAAAATCCCGCAAGTCTAGCATGCCCATCAAGATAGAGACAGAAGCCGTTGATACCCCTAGCGCAACTCACGAAGTTGCCAGCTCGGAAGACGACATGCCTCCGCGGCCGGTAAGTGACGGGCCTGTTGAGATGGGCGGTTCTAGGATAGAAAAAAACTCAAACCACCCAATGGAAAAGAAGTCCCATTCAGGTACATCACAGAAATCCATTTCTGAAGATGGAGGGCCGACATATTTTAAATCTATTGAGCCAAATAACACATGCGCCAACGCGGACGAGTTGCATCGCCCTGAGAAAACAGCTAAGCCCGAACAAGGCAAATTGTTAAAGGTAGTTTCTTGTGAAAATGCCTGCAAAGATTCAAACCAGCAGCGCGATGTGATCAAAGCAGTGACAGAACCCCATGGCTATCTTAAAGAGCAACTGAATTACAGGATCCCAATGAACGACTGCGCTGAATTGCAACACCACTTGCTGAGTAGGGGGGCGTTCAGCACACTGTCCGGTAGGAGTGTAGCCGTTCCTGGTTTCGAAGCTTTTAAAGATATAGATCGTGTCAGTCAACATGCGCCGCTAGGGCTTCAGAGGGAAGACAGCCGTTTCCATTGTGACATCTGTAAGAAGACCTTTAAAAACCCCTACAGTGTGAAAATGCATTTTAAAAACGTACACCTAAAAGAAATGCATATTTGCACCGTGGAGGGTTGCAATGCTGCCTTTCCTTCTCGTAGAAGTCGAGACAGGTAAGAAAACAGTGCACATAATTGTTTTTTTATTATTATTTAAAAAAATAAAATAGTCATATAATGGAGCCTAGTCTGAAATGCAAATAAGTTTTGAAGCATGTTTTTGTGGTGTGCCCCCTCACCCCTTGTATCTTCCTCATGCATGTTCCGTACCTTATTGGAGCACTGAAAATCCATGGGACAAAACCTTGCTTTTCCCCCTGGACAAGAAGGCATTGAATCACCAGTGGTTCCCAACCTTTTTTTGGCCATGCCCCACCTAAGCATCTCTAAAGTCCTGCTGCCCCCCCCCCGTGACATATAATTCTTTTTATTCAAAAAGTGAACTCCTATTCACCCGTTTCTCACTGTTAATAACTCATTCTCGAATTGCCCCCCCTTTAAAAATCAAATTGCCCCCCTGTGGGGCATGTGCCCCACACTGGGAACCACGGCATTAAATGAAACCCTGGAAATCTCATTGCTAGTAGATAACAGTGGTTGAAAATAATTTTATTTGTGGGTTGTCGTTTTTAGAGATGCAATTTCTTGCACAGGCAGGATAACAAGGTCTTGCATTTAACTTGCCTTTTCAGATGTCTCCCTAAATTTTTAAAGCAAAATCTACAGTGGTATCTATCTATCATCTATCTATCATCCATCCATCTATCTATCTATCTATCATCTATCTATCATCTATCTATCTATCTATCATATATCTATCTATATCTATCTATATCTATCTATCATCTATCTATCTATCTATCTATCTATCTATCATCTATCTAGCTATCTATCTATCTATATCTATCTATCTATCTATCTATATCTATCTATCATCTATCTATCATCTATCTATCTATCTATCTATCATCTATCTATCTATCTATCTATCTAACATCTATCTATCTATCTATCTATCTATCTATCTATCTATCTATATCTCTCTATCTATATCTATCTATCATCTATCTATCTATATCTATCTATATCTATCTATCATCTATCTATCATCTATCTATCATCAATCTATCATCTATCTATCTATCATCTATCATCTATCTATCTATCTATCTATCTATCATCTAGCTAGCTAGCTGGCTATCCAACTATCTATCTGTCATCTATCTATCTATCTATCATCTATCTATATCATCTTCTGAACTGATGGCAGAGGACTTAGTTTCCTCTCCTCCATCAATCACACCATCTGTTCAGCCTACTCCCTGCCTGCCCCCCTCTGCTTTCCCTCCCACTTTCCTTTTTGCCCTCTGGGCAGATAAGAACATAAGAAGAGCCTGCTGGATCAGGCCAAGGGCTCGTCTGGTCCAGCATGCTGTTCTCAAAGCAGCCAGTGGAAAGCCCACAAACAGGATCTGAGCGCATCGGCACCCTCCCCTGCTGCCGTTTCCAGCAATTGGTGTTCAGAAGCACATCACCTCCATCTGAATTCCAGACATTTGTTTTGTCCCTCTGGCTGGGAATGATGGGCGCTGAGAGTCAAACAGGATCTGCAGAGCGACACGTTCCCCGTCTTGCTCTTCCCAGTGCCGAAACCAGTCCTTTCTGGGAGCAGGTTCCAATTTGATCCCATTTCCAGCTAGGAATTAGCTAACAAACAGGAAGAATTGTTGTGGACTATTTAAGGTCTGAGATTGCAGTCGGATAAGACTGTTCCTGTTCAGAAGCTGCTGGCCCCAAATATTGCTGCCTCCTGCTTCCACTTCCCCCCTTCTCCACTAGCAGTATGGGACACAGGTGGCGCTGTGGTCTAAACCACTGAGCCTCTTGGGCTTGCTGATCGGAAGGTTGGCAGTTCAAATCCACGCAATGGGGTGAGCTCCCATTGCTCTGTCCCAGCTCCTGCCAATCTAGCAGTTCAAATGCACACCAGTGCAAGTAAATATATAGGCACCGCTGTGGTGGGAAGGTAAACGGCATTTCCATGCGCTCTGACTTCTATCACAGTGTTCTGTTGTACCAGAAGCGGTTTAGTCCTGCTGGCCACATGACCCGGAAAGCTGTCTGTGGACAAACGCCGGTTCCCTCAGCCTGAAGCGAGATGAGCACCACAACCCTATAGTCGCCTTTGACTGGACTTAACCATCCAGGGGTCCTTTACTTTTACCTTTTATTAGCAGTATGTAGTGGCCACATTTGCCTTCCTGTGCCAGGCTGTGGAGACAGAACTAAGGAGAAGATGCAACAGGGCTGCTCTGCCTGGCTCACTGCCCTCGCCAGATCTCAGAACTAGCTGCTGCATCTGGCTGCTCATCTTGAAAAAAGCAACTAGCTATTCTGTACTGGGAGAAAATAACACAATAAGTCTTAAGGCTATGGCACCATTTGTTCATGGATATTAGGTGTGGGGAACCTTAGTTTCTCCAAATGTCTTGGAACTGCAACTCCCATTATCCCTGCCCATTGGCTATGCTTGCTAGGGCTGATGGGAGTTGTAGTCAGTGACATCTAGAAGACCAAAAGTTCTCCACCACCTGATGTATCTTGTCCTTTTTAAATTTTTCCTGCTGTGGCTGTCTTGATCATCCTTAGCTGTTTATGGTACGGAGATCAAACAAACATAAGATATTTTTTTAAAATAATTTTATTTATTTTCTGTATTCTGCTCTTCATCTGAAGGTCTCAGGTCAGAAATGCATAAAATTAAAACCAATCATATTAAGAGAGGCCAACATAAATTCCATGCAAATGAAACAGCAGCAACAGAAAAAATCCAGTCCTCACCTCACCCTTCCCACAAGCCTGAACAAAGAGAAATGACTGCAGTGCCGTGATGAGACAGGTCATCCTAGAGGCATAGCCATCAATATATTACATGCTCTTGATTGCCCATTTAGTACCCTTATCCCAGGTGCACCCAAGGAAGGTACCTCTATCGCCACACCATTGTTACATTACTGTTACTGCATTCATCACTTGGGCGAGGGGTAGTATCCACGCTGGGACAATGCTCACATTAAGAGTTTGTGCTCAAGTGTTGACTGTTGAGTTGCTTCTCCTCCTTGAGTCTAACAGCATCCCTGATCTTCTTTCTCCAGACATAGCTCCAACCTAAACCTTCACCATAAGCTTTTGACCAAAGATCCCTTGGAAATCAAGAACCACCATTTCAATGCAACGTACCTCTTGAAGGATATGGCGAAAGAGATTTGTCCGGACGACTCTTTGATAGGACACGTTGGGCAGCAAACTTCGGTCATCTTCAAAGGGATGAACAGGACTGGCAGCCTGGTTTTCCCAATGAGCAAGATGGGAGAGGCCTGCCCCGAGAGCTACCAGTATGACCTGGTAAACGATGGGGCCGTTCTGGATTTAAGCACAACGTCCAGCATCAAGTCGGAGGGCAGTGCTCATTCCTCTTGGGATTCTGACGGAGACAATGAAGAAGGTCCTGGGGTTTTGGAGGACAGTGACGAAAGCTGTGAAAGTCCACCTTTGATCCCGAATGAAGACCTCTACCAAGACTGTTCTCTGATGGAGAAGACTAACGAGAGTTTCTCAAGCATACCTTCCAGTTTGCCAATAACCTGCCACATATGCCAAAAAAGCTACAGTAATAAAGGAACTTTCAGGGCCCATTACAAAACAGTCCATCTCCGCCAGCTCCACCAATGCAAAGTCCCAGGTTGCAATACAATGTTTTCTTCTGTGCGCAGCAGAAACCGACACAGTCAAAACCCCAATTTACACAAGAGCTTGATCAGGTCAACAGCTAGCCCCCAGTAACATCTCGCTGTTGGGCAGCAGCTTCTGTTTGGTTAAGAGTCGTCATTTCAACTTTAAAAAGAAAAGTGCAAGAGTGAGGTTTCCCTGTGTTTTGTTTTCTTCCAGGGTGCTTTCTTCCACAGTGCACACTGAAATCACAGGGCCACGTTCTGCTTCCGTTTACACAGTATGTGTTTTCACCGAGCAAAATAGGACACACCGACAACACTAGCCTGAGTTTTTCACTTAGATGTAGATACACACTTAAAAAAAAGAGAGGATCAGGAGACATAATAAAGGTACTCTTGATGGTTTGCAATATGAGTCACAGTGAAGACACTATTCCAATGTTTCGTTTACATGATCAGTGTGGAGGGATGGGTGGGAACTGCTGGGTGAGCCCATTGGTTGAACTGGAGGGTTTTTAACGCTGTCGTTTCTATCCTGAGATCAAGGATCGGGAACCTGTGGCCCTCCAGATGCTGTTAAACTCCAACTCCCATAATTCCCTGAGGCTGATGGGAGTTTGGAGTGCCACAACATCTTGAGAGACATACAGGTTCCCCACTTAGCCCATGCCATAATGCCATGATGAGGCTTTTCCCACACCTCTGTCTAACATCGTAGTGTGAAGGCTGGGCTACAAATTACAAAAGAAAACACAAAGCTGTTTTTGAAAATGGGAGCGCCATGTCCAGTTTTCCCTTTCTCTCCCCAATGAGTAATAAAAAAAATTATCCCAGGGATGATGAACCTTTGACGCTCAAGATGTGGTTAGACTGCAACTTGTATCATACCTGGCTATTGGCCATGCTGGTAGGACTGATGGGAGTTGGAGTCCACAACATCTGGAAGTCCACGCGTTCCTCTCTTTATCCATGTCATAATGTCATTCTGTTGCATTTTCAACACCTCTTCCCAGTGGCAACCAAGGGGATATGAAGGGGAAACTAAACGCACGGACGTCATTTTCAGCAACAGCGCCATGCTTGTTTAACACGCACCTCTGCTCCGAGGCTGACTTTGCAGTATTAAATAAATGTGGTGTTTCCCACGTAATTTATTATTGAATGCCAGAAACTAAAATAGAGGTTTTAGGAAAATGTAGCATATGATTCTGGAGTTCTTGATTTCAGGAGCTATTTTACTTGAAGACGTATTGTAGGGTTTTCTTCCACTGTGGGTTGTCCATTATTTTTACAACATTTGAAGAAAGGAAAAGAACAAAAGGTCCCAGTTCTAGAAAAGACATGTAAAATTCTTGTCTAAATGAATAATGAGGCTGGCTCCAAGATGGATCTGTAAACTTCCAGACGCCAGAAGCCACTCAGCAGTTCATGGGTCTGGCTTGGAACCTGCTTCTGAGCTACTCCATGTCTGGGGATATATATTTATATATATACACACAAGAGGACCAGCCTTAAGAAAAGAACAGAATATTCCCTCTTTGATTATTATTATTTTTTAAAAAGACTCTTGGTTAACTTTGGGAGCCTCTGAAATGCATCAGTTTGTACAGCCTAACGTGTCATAACATGCTTCCAAAGATTTTTGAACCACATACAGGACATTTTATAAATGCAGTGTTTATTTTTATTGCACTTTTTGATGGCTACATTGGGTATTCGGGAGGGGGGTGTTACTCAGCACTGTCCAGCATTTTACAGGAAACAGCATGAGATTGGGGAAACTAAGTCATTATGTTTTGTTGATGTAGTTGTTTGCCACCAAGGGGAGAATGCTGGTCTTTGTTGCAACATAAAGAAGAGTAATCCATTTAGCTTTGTTGACACTCTCTTTTATATTAAAGCATTGCTTAGTATAAATATAATAACTTTGTTCAATATCCTTGTCACTGTACGTACCAGTATTCTGCATTATGTTCTGTGCACTTAATTTGATTGGTCTTGCGTTGTATTTAAAAAAAACCACTTTTAAAATATTTAATTTGTCATCATGTCATAGCATTGCTGTGTTTGTGTACATGGTGTGCTAATGTCTTTGATGAAATCATTTTGAATAGCTTAGGGGGGTAATACGTATTTTTATTGACTAAGCCTTTCAAATTATTTTTCCCCATTCAATCCAATTTTGATCTGTTGTGGTACCCAGGCATGACACTGACTGCACATTTTGTACATATGATGCCAAAGTGTTTTAAGAGTGTTTTGTGGTTTCTACGATGTTCCTCTCCCCCTGGAGTTTGCAGTTTAGCTAAATTTTAGTCTTGATGTTTTATTGGCTAGCTGGTGACTGAAAACTTTAGATTGAAATCTTGGGCTTAGTATGTAGGGTGAATAGGAAAAACTGTCCATGGGTCTCAATGTTTAATTTATTCTACACAAAAAAGTTTGTAGCACAATTTCATATCACAGAATAGATTGGTGATATGTGTTGCTCTGATGTGCCACATTTGATGGACACAGTTTGATGTGCTGGAATTCAGGCTGAGATCACTCCAGGTTCAGTTTTTATACACAGTAAACTAGTTTTCGGATTTACAGCTGATGCGGATCTTCAACTGATTTAAAACGGAGGATTCTAGCTATGCATAGCCATCAGAATTCTGAATTTCCCATGTCAAAGTGCTGGCTGGCGGTTTCAGATATATATGGGACCATTCAGATAACCAGCTGCCGCTTCTTCAAGAGAACTTGGGTTGATTCTTATCTGGATTCCAACTTTGCAAAATGGGTTTGTGCACTGATTTCTCAAGAGCAAAATAGAGAGAGAAGGAGAGAGGGAGAGGAGGGTTGTTTGTGCAGCTGGCACAATACCCTGGGATGTGGGTATGGGTGTGTTGGGTGTGTTAGCAGTGCAGTTTTTGCAGCAACATGAATATTTACGTAAGGGAGAGCAGGGAATAAACCACGACATGGTGGCAAAGCAGAGGGAAATAGAAGGTTGTGAAAGTGGCTTACCATTAGATTTACTAAGGTTGAGACTTCCCAAATAAACGCAACTCTATTAAACAAAACAGAAAACGGAGTTAATGCTGTGTGTTTAGACCCCCTACAAGAATTCCAAACCCACTGTGTGACGTTAGAAAGATGGGGAAACAACCATTTTTTAGCTTTTCAGCATGGTCCAATCTGATGTGGTGGTGCAGCAAGAGTAGACAATTGATCAGCCTGACACTGGAGCTGTTTCCAAATGCTCTGGGACATACCCAGATGATTGATCAGCCACAACAGGCTAAAAGCTCACCCACGGAGCGTTTTATTGTGTTTCTGGTTTGGCTTCACGGTGCAGCATTTGGGTACAAAGGAAGCATCTCGAGGGACAGCAGGTACCAGTAGATCAAGATACATTTCTATGAATGAGCCCTGGATGGAGTGGCCACTTTGAGGGTCCTGCAAACAGTATTCCCATGTGTTAGTTTCAAAGCAGGCCTGTTTGGCAGCCTACCAGAGACTCTGTAAACCTATCTTGCTGTCTTTAAGCACTGAACCAGCTTAAGAGCTCCCCATCCTTTGGAGGACCTACATTTTTTTGGTCCCCAGATGTGAACTTGCTGGGCTGAGTCTGGGAAGGCACAGTTTTGATTTCCCACAAAGCCTGAGAGTGACACGACTGGTGCCAGGTGAGCAGGTGGGTCAAGCACCCACAGCATGGGCCCTGCTGACATTTGGTCACTGGCAGCTGCCTGATGATCCCAGGTGTTAATGCCAATCCTGGCCTATAAACACCTGGCAAAGCTGGTGGACTGCATTCAGCTTAGTGGGTGACCCAGGAAGCTGAATGTGCCCAGTTTTTGCTAGATCTTATAGCCTAGGAGGTTCAGGATTAGCACCTGGTGTGTGTGTGTGTGTGTGTGTGTGTGCGTGAGAGAGAGAGAGAGAGAGAAGTACTTTAGCATATACTCAGTGCTGCCACATCCACAGCTATAAACATCTCATGAGCAGTTTGACGGAAAGGTAGAGGGAGCAAATGGAAATGAGTGCATTTTTTTTAGTGCTATGCCATGTTTTCTGCTAGATGGATGCAATAATGAAACTATTGCCCAGAAAACATTTGTGTCCGATGCTATTTTGCAGCAGAAATAAGACTACTTTTTTTTCATTTTTGCAACTGAACTGTGTCATTTACTTTTCATGTTGGAATATTTGTTTCGATAGAAAGTGGACTGCGGGGAGCCTGGGGTGGTATGCAATGCTAGTCCTACTCAGTGTAGACCCATTGGGGTTAATAGGCATGACTAATGTAGGTTTGGTAATGGATCTGTTCTGAATAGGACATAGTTGAACACCACCCTTGGTCACTACGAAGTCAGTATAACCGGACTCAGGGTTGACACCCATTAACAATATTTCCATTTATTTCAAGCTCTATTTTGTTGTCATTGCTGTATAAATGTGCTTGCTTAATCTTAATAAGATTTGGGGTTTTGTTTTTGTTTTTATATAAAAAACGAAAGAAGCCTTTGTCGTAAATGAAAGTTGTAACGCCCAATTCTTTAGGTTTGTTTTTTCACTGTTCCCCTGAAAATAATACCATTTTGTATTTTCTTCAGAATTTTCTATGTGTTAATAAAAAATATACAATAATTTTCTTCTGAGTGCATCCAGGCAAAACTCCCCTGAGGAATCGGTTTCTAGAATTAGCACTCTGGATATGTGATGCTGTTAGCTTTCAAGCCTAAGAGGTTGCATGGCACCAGCTGGAGAAGGTCAAAGGTCACCCTAATCACAATATTTGGCTGCCAACATCGGCCAGCCAGATGTTCCCCAAAGCTCACAACTGGGGCAGTGTTTGCTACATAAAGGCATAGTGCCTCTTGACATGAAAGGTCTATTGAACTACACTGGCCAATAAGCCATTGATGGGTATCACCACCAAAATGTTGCCATATATATATCACACGTGTAACCTTAGTGGGCATCGCCAACTTTTGAGATCAAGAATTCTAGAAGTTGCCTAGATTACAGTGTGGTAGAATCATGATCCCAGAATAGAGCAGTAACTCAGTCAGAGACTCGAAGGCCAGTGGTGACAACAGAGATGTTTCTGGGCCTGAGCATCACTATTGATCCCCGGCAGGGTTTCCCAAACTTGGGTCTCCATCTGTTTTTGGACTACAGCTCCCATCATCCCTGACCACTGGTCCTGCAAGCAAGGGATGATGGTCATTGTAGTTCAAAAACAGTTGGAGACCCAAGTTTGGGACGTTGTGATCCACAGATTCCCTGAGCCCAAGATACCAAGGCTGGACTGCAGTGTTTGGTTTGGATATTGGAATCTTAGATTTATGTCTTCTCTCAGGCTCCATCTGCACCATACATTTAAAGTCCTGTTGTACCATTTCAACAGTCATGGCTTCCCCAAAAGAATCCTGGGAGCTATAGTTCATTAAAGCCGCTAAGAGTTATTAGGAGATCTTGGATTTCCCTCCTGGAGCTGCAGTTCCTAGTGATGAGGGACACAGGTGGCACTGTGGTCTAAACCACTGAGCCTCTTGGGCTTGCCGATCGGAAGGTTGGCCGTTTGAATCCCCACAATGGAGTGAGCTCCCATTGCTCTGTCCCAGCTCCTGCCAACCTAGCAGTTCGAAAGCACACCAGTGCGAGTAGATAAATAGGTACCGCTGTGGCGGGAAGGTAAACAGTGTTTCTGTGTGCTCTGACTTCCATCATGGTGTCACGTTTTGCCAGAAGCGGTTTATTCCTGCTGGCCACATGACCTGGAAAGCTTTCTGCGGACAAACGCCGGCTTCCTTGGCCTGAAGAGATGAGCGCCGCACCCCATAGTCACCTTTGACTGGACTCAACCGTCCGGGGGTCATTTACCTTTACCTTACCCTAGAGTGGTTTTGACAGTCAACCCCTCTTGCCAGGGAACTCTGGGAACTGTAGTTCTGTGAGGGGAATAGGGGCCTCTTAGCCACTCTCAACACTCTTGTGGAAAGAGTTTAATAAAATTATTCAAGCTTTCGTTGCTTCTGCTGCAGCAGACTAATGCACCTCTAACCTCTGTAATTTAATAGCTGCTTCTCCTTCCAATCTTCCAAGCAGTCGTCTGTTTGCTTATTTCTTTTACATAACCCCACACTCCCTAGCAATCATAATAGCTAACCCACAGGTATTTCGCACATGGAAGTGAGAGGCTTAACTGATGCACAAAGAGAAGGGCCGCCCTGGTTTCTGCCTCCACATCAAAGGAAGAATCCCAAGGCAGACAGATAAAAGAGTTTAGCTCAAGATATGAAATGTCTCTGCAAGTGAAGCTATGCCAAAAAGAGAGAAACTTTCCCATTTTTATTTTAAGACTGCCATTCTCTCAGGTGCTAGAATATGGAGCCTGGAGGGACCCAATAGAATCTGGAAGATCATCCATCCTGTTTTCCTTTCTTTGTCCAATCTTATGGCATCTGATTATGAGGGAATCTTATTGAATTCGGCCTACTCACAGGTAGGATTAGGAGAATCTGTCAATTTAAGGTTCTCTTTGTTTCTGATTTTTCCAATCTTAAGTTCAGTTCCCCCCATTTCTACTTCATTCTGAGAATTTTTAAGGGAAAAAAATCCCAATGAAAATCAGCATTTCAGAGCTAATTTCTCCAAATATACAGACGTTTGTATGCAATTTTGCCTCATATACACATTTTTTTGCAACATAATTTCCCCTTAATGAAATGCATTTTTAATGCTATTTTCACCCATGCATGCATTTTTACTCACATTTTACACCAGTAGGTGTATTTTTGGACACATTGCTTTTCTGGAGAACTGCACTGCAAAATTCTGAGAAGTGAATTTCAAAGGATGGCTTTGTTTCATTTTGCATATGGTTTCGAAAAGTGCAGGCTTGGTAAGTTTGCCTTTGAATGCAAACTGAATCAACTTGCTCCTTCGATCTTAATTATAAGAAAAGATTACTTTGTTGCAAAAGATAAACAAATATGGACAGTTAATCAAGTTAAGCCAGGGATTGCCAATCCATGAAGGCTTTCAGTGGTGTCCCTGGGCAGGTGCTCCAGACTCGGGTTTTCATTTTATTTTTTTAAAAAATGTAAGTCTCTAGCCCTCCAAGAAAAATGGTTATGGGCCAAAATGTATAAGTGCCTTTTAAGCGATTTATGTGAAATGGAGAGTGAGTGTGGGTTTTCCCTAGTACAGTCACACCTGGGTTCACAAACGCCTCCGTTTTGGAATGTTTTGGCTCCCGAATGCCGAAAACCTGGACGTGTTCCAGTTTTTGAACATTTTTTGGAAGCCGAACGTCCAACATGGCTTCCGCTTGAGTGCAAGAAGCTCCTGCAGCCAATCAGAAGCCGCCCCTTGGTTGTCGAACATTTTGGAAGCTGAAAGGGCTTCCAGAACGGATTACGTTCGACAACCGAGGTTTGACTGTACTAAGGAATGCTTTCTGTTGCTATTAAACAGCAACTGTGTGTGTGTGTGTGTGTGTGTGTGTGTGTGTGTGTGTGTGTAAGCAATATTGTGCCATCTCCACAGTCAGAATCAGCAAGACATAGCTGACTTCCCATGGCAAGTATAATGTGGTAAGGGTGGCTATCTCTTTCATTTTGTGTTATGCCACACACCCCACCCATAGCTGCTATTTTGTAACTTCCAAAATTCAAAATGTGCCCACTGCTCCAAAAAACTTGGCAACCTTTGAGTTAACCAACAGATTAAACAACCGAACCTCAAATTGCTTTATCAGGGGCAACCAATTATAAAGTGCTGAAGAGGACACACTTCAGTTGGTGGATCTGCAAGTTTGTTTGTGTGTTTGTTGATGACACATGCACGCGCACGCACGCGCGCACACACACACACACACACACACATATATATATGTCCAAGACCCTCAGAGGCACCTGTAGCTTGGAAAAGATTGCAGTGCACCCTGATTCATCCCCTGTGGGTCTCTGTCCCCCACCCCTCCTCCAAACCCTGAGGAGTCACCTCAGCTGCCAGACTCAGATGGCTGGTCCACAGACTCCTCAGAGACTCAAGAGGGCCCTGAGGAGAGGGAAAGAGCCACACCTAGAAACCTCATTAACTCAAAGGAGCCAGCAGCTGCCAAAGAGCTGACCGGGAGGCAACCCTCACAGAACAGAGCCATGAGTCACTGACAGCCTGGGCCTGCTACAATACTCAGCCATTTGCTCCTCACTGAGACAACTTTAATGCCTGGACTCAGGAGCAGAAGCACTCTCCATGGTGCTGAACCCAAACCTTGCTCTCCTCCTAAGGTGCTGGCTTTGCCTGGTCTGGCCACCTGGGGAACCTGAAACTACTGAGCCACCCTCCTTGAGCCATCCCCTCTCCCAGTGCTTGGTGGGACTGGTAAAATGGAAAGCCTGGAGGCCAGCAGTGGGCAATGGCAGAGCCAATGGCAGGCAGTGCCCACTAATTCTAGATTTGTCTTCCTTACAGGATGCTGACGGATTCCAATTCAGATGCTTGGTCCACCAATTCAGTATTGTCTATATGGATTGACTCTCTAGTGTTTAGCAGGCATAGGCAAACTTGGCCCTCCAGATGTTTTGGGACTACAACTCCCATCATCCCTAGCTAACAGGACCAGTGGTCAGGGATGATGGGAGTTGTAGTCCCAAAACATCTGGAGGGCCGAGTTTGCCTATGCCTGGTTTAAGGCAAAGGAACATCCAATGCTGGGGATTGAACCTGGGACCTCCTGAATGGAAAGCAGCTGCTCTACCACTGAGCTATGGCCCCTCCCCTCCTCAGTGTTGAGTTCTAAAAGGGCAACTCTGACACAAAGGAAGAGGAAACTGACCCTGACTCTAGACGGGTTGTAAGAAGAAATGCAGACGGGTGGAGGTTGGCTGAGGGTAGATTGAGGTTGGTGAGGCAGTGCTTCAAATGGACCAGCCTGCATTGTGAGCATCCCTATGCAACAAGACACAGCAGACAGTGGCTTTCAACCTCTCTGACTCTCAGTCACCTTGACTCACCAGGCAGGGAGATGCTGGTGCTGGCAGTAAGGTAAAGGTAAAGGGACCCCTGACCATTAGGTCCAGTCGCGGACGACTCTGGGGTTGCGGAGCTCATCTCGCTTTATTGGCCGAGGGAGCCAGCGTAAAAGCTTCTGGGTCATGTGGCCAGTGTGACTAAGCTGTTTCTGGCGAACCAGAGCAGCACACGGAAACGCCGTTTACCTTCCCGCTGCAGTGTTACCTATTTATCTACTTGCACTTTGATGTGCTTTTGAACTGCTAGGTGGGCAGGAGCAGGGACCGAGCAACAGGAGCTCACCCCGTCGCGGGGATTCGAACCGCCAACCTTCAGATCAGCAAGTCCTAGGCTCTGTGGTTTAACTCACAGTGCCACCCGCGTCCCTTCGGCGCTGGCAGTAGGTCCCACCAAAATGCTGCAGCTCAGCCAGGTGGTTGCATTTAGGCTCTCCTCCCTCTTCTCCACCTTCTCTCACAACAGGCCCACACGAAGCGTATGTGGGGGAACACCTTTATAAATGCCCCATGGATTAACATGGGCCACAAACAAATGTTTTGGGTTTGTTTTGGTTTGGTTTTTTTAAAACAAAAAACAAAAAAACCCTACTATTAGACAAAATTGCATACTAGATGTCTCCCTTGGCCTAACACCACAACCTCTTCCCCAAAACACGCAGTACAAATGGAGAGATCTTTCCGGAAAAACCACATCAGCAAAGCCTACGGAAGAAAAATGCAGCTTGCCTGTTAGCATCACAAAGTCTCTCATCAAATATTCAAGTTATTCAGTACAAGCCATTTTTCTTCTCCTATCTACCCCAGCTTTGGCCCAGGCTGCCCTCAAACATACATCTCACACATGTATTAAAGTTTCAGTTCAGCCCGTCCACCTGTTTTTCTAATTGTAAGCCATAGTACCTACAACTTGCCCCTGATTTCTCATTAAAACAACAGGATGCAGCTCAGCTGAAACACCCTTAACAAGGGCAATGACTGCGGCCATACAATCTTACCTCGGGTTACAGACACTTCAGGTTGCATTTTTTTGGGTTACGGACCACCAAAACCCGGAACTACCGGAACGGGTTACTTCCGGGTTTCAGCAGTCGCACATGTGCAGAAGTGCTAAATCGCGCTTTGCGCATGCGCAGAAGTGCCGAATCGCAACCCACGCGTGCACAGACATGCCGCTGCAGGTTGCAACTGCTGCGGGTGGCGAATGTGCATCCCGCACGGATCACGTTCACAACCCAAGCATCCGCTGTATAATTCATCTTATGCATTTATTTGTTTTTATGCATAGTTCTAGCTTGTCTCCCACCCAGTGTTGCCAGACCAGCAACGAAGTGGCAATGTGATTTCCAGAGTGGCAACACATTTCTTTCCCCTTAAAACACACTACTGCTTCCCCCTTTTTATTTTCTTTTTTGAATGTATACAAGAGTAAGCCTTTAATCCCTCTGCCTACACACTTTCCCGCGCACACAGAGAGCCAGTCATAGCGCATTCCTGGTGGAATTGCAACCCAGGTGTCTTGCTCCATGGATAGACATATGTGATATGGATTCTCCATGTGCATTCAGTAACCATTCACTCAAGTTATGGTCTGTTAAGCTATTCCTGCTGCCATGCTCATACCTCAGATTAACATGCAACCGAATGCTTAAGTGGGAACATTATTTCTCGTTCCTCCCCCACAACTGCTTGTCCATTTCAGTTTCAACAGGATGCTGCTAGATCAGAATGGGAGGGAGGGAGGGAGGTTTATGAGGAAGATTTATAGCACACTCCTTTGCCTGTTTACTCACAAGGTGTCCCACTGTGTTCAGTGGTGCTTACTCCCAGGAAAGGGTGCACACGACTGCAGTCTTCAAACTAGTTTAATCGCAAAACAGGGTTTGTCTAAGCATGGCAGGCAATTGCACCTAAGTGTTCTGCTTCACGGTGCTTGATTTGTAAGCGCATAAGAACATCATAGGGACGCGGGTGGCGCTGTGGGTTAAACCACAGAGCCTAGGACTTGCTGATCAGAAGGTCAACGGTTTGAATCCCCGCGATGGGGTGAGCTCCCGTTGCTCAGTCCCTGCTCCTGCCAACCTAGCAGTTCAAAAGCACGTCAAAGTGCAAGTAGATAAATAGGTACCGCTCTGGTGGGAAGGTAAACGGCGTTTCCGTGTGCTGCTCTGGTTCACCAGAAGCGGCTTAGTCCTGCTGGCCACATGACCTGGAAGCTGTACGCCGGCTCCCTTGGCCAATAAAGCGAGATGAGCGCCGCAACCCCAGAGTTGGCCACGACTGGACCTAATGGTCGGGGTCCCTTTACCTTTACCTTCTTCTTTTTTACAATTCCACCAGGTATTTGAACTTCTCTTTTGACTGAATTTTGACTGAATGACGCCCTTGGTAATTCATTTTAAATGCTAACAAATTTGTAGGTTAGGGGGTGGCTAGAACGTAACAAAAATTATCACACTTTATTTGGTGAGTAGACATGTTTAGAATTGCATTGCAAAAGTCAAACCACTGATCCATCCTGTGCAGGGTTTTCTACATTGACTGTTAGGGGCTCTCTGAGGTTTCAGGCAGGTTTCTCTCCCGGCCCTATCTAGAGATGTCAGGGAGTGAACCTGGGACCTTCTGCATGCAAGGCAGGTCCTCTGCCTCTGAGCCACAACCCTTCCTCTTCCCACTACAGGCATAATTTCTGTCACGTGTAGACGAGAAAGAAATTAAGAGCAATAAATTGACACGGGTCAGCTGCTGCAAAACCTTTTTAACTTGGGTAGCTATTGTGTGCACATATCAAGGAAGACCAGAAAACTCACACATCAACAATTTTTTAAAACTGTAAACTTAAGGAAGTAGAGGTTCTCAGTCTATGTAGAATGTGCATTTTAACACAAACGGCAAATAGCATGACTAAAATTCTATTATGAGATTCAGGAAATATTGCCGATGCAGTGTGAATGATTACAATAATATTAAAATTATTGCAAAAGTAAGATTATATATATAATATGCAGCAGAACCATCTAGCTGTGCCATTTGACCTAGACATGAAATTGACAGTGACTGCTGGTGTATTGTGCCATCAAAACAAGCTGAAAACTATGAAATACACACCTGCAAACTCCTGAATTAATCATACTCACGCTTTGTATAACAGCTTTGGGGTGGGAAGGTTAAAGGTTAGAGCAGGACTATGACAGGTGGGACGCACATGGACCCCGTACAAGCACTGAAAGAGTGGAAACGGCTCTCAAGTGCATGACTCCATGAATGGAATTATTTCTCTCTTCCCCCCACCCCCTCTCCTTATGAAATGCTCCTTTCACAGCACATTTCAGCAAAACTCCTGTGGGAAAATTATACTTAGTAGCGTAAAATGTCATGTTGAAACATGATTGTAGCCTGTGCTCAAATATCTCTTCTTGACAAATAATAATAATAATAATAATAATAATAATAATAATAATAAATCCCCATGCTTTTAGTTTTTAATCAGCTGGCCTACTGGGAATATATTCTAGCTATTGCTTCAGAGCCAATGAGTTCCTAAAATAAGATACCCACCCATCCTACTCCAGCAATGAACTATGATCCTAACCCTATGCACAAATCCATCTGTTTCAGTTTCTTAGTACTTTGCATTGTTGTAAACAAAATCTGCCCTTTTTCCCTTATGGGGTATCCAAGAGCCCATATAGAGTCCTTACGTAGGTTCCCTATTGGTAGGAGAAAATAACAGAGGCCAACCAGAGAATACTGAGAAGCAAAGCAGCTAGTAAGCCTGATCTTTATTGATCTGTTGCAACAGCGTCCTCACTCACCACACGCAGGAGGGAGGAGGAGCCCAGAGCAATGGTGTGCAAGCCCTTATATAGACTTTTGAAATTGCCACCCTGTAGATCAAGACCACCCCCAGATACATCGTACCTACATCACAGAAAGGGCGATTTACAGCAGAAATCTGAGTGGTTTGTTTAGCTCCTGTCTGCCAGGTTACCTGTTTAATGGTCACTTGATTGGATTGCCTGGGGAGCCTGGCCAGTCTTTTGTAATGATAAATACTTAGTTCCTGAGCCAGATCACAGCCTCACACCCTATTCATATCTTAAATGTGCCCTTAAGGCAGGATTTGTGAAGGAAAAGACAATGGGGAGGCATTTCCATTTTCCTTTGACCTTGCAGAGAAAACATTTGCTCAGTTTAGGAATCAAAATGGTTTCAGGTCGGTCTCCCTGTGCTGATCTATGTGTGTGCTTGGTTGGTACACTTACGAACATTTAACATATATCTAAGACCTCAAAATTCCTATCACAGCATTCCCCCCCCCCACCTTAGATTCAGTTTGCCACATTTCCACATCAGTTGGCTTCCCCCCCCCCCCATGATATTTTTCCTGAGGGTATATTTCTCCCAATACACATCTTTCAAAGGCAACTTGTTGGCATCTTTCTGTCTCAAGAGACAATGGAGTGCGCCTTCAGGGGTGAAGTCAAACCTCTGCAGTAGCAGCACTGAAGTCCCCACCTCGGGGCAAACCTGGGCAGCTTGTATAGAGGGTCCAGGGCTGTCTCCCTCTCAGCCTCGCTGATGTGGTCCAAGGGAAAGCAGAACAAGACATTTGACACCAGCTTGGCTGCAGGAGCTGCCGGAAGGTGTACAAGCCATCACCCAACCATCTTAGCCTTGCTAATGTAAGTACAGTGGTACCTCGGGTTACATACGCTTCAGGTTACATATGCTTCAGGTTACCCACCCTGCTAACCCAGAAATAGTGCTTCAGGTTAAGAACTTTGCTTCAGGATGGGAACAGAAATCATGCAGCGGCAGCGCAGCAGCAGTGGGAGGCCCCATTAGCTAAAGTGGTGCTTCAGGTTAAGAACAGTTTCAGGTTAAGAACGGACCTCCGGAACGAATTAAGTACTTAACCTGAGGTACCACTGTAACTTCCCAAAATACAACATTGGGGGGGGGGGAGTTGCTAATGCAAAAGGGACACGGGTGGCGCTGTGGGTTAAATCACAGAGCCTAGGGCTTGCCGATCAGAAGGTCGGCAGTTCAAATCCCCGTGACGGGGTGAGCTCCCGTTGCTCGGTCCCGGCTCCTGCCAACCTAGCAGTTCGAAAGCATGTCAAAGTGCAAGTAGATAAATAGGTACCGCTCCGGCGGGAAGGTAAACAGCGTTTCCGTGCGCTGCTCTGGTTCGCCAGAAGTGGCTTAGTCGTGCTGGCCACATGACCTGAAAGCTTTTCTGCGGACAAACGCTGGCTCCCTAGGCCAATAAAGCGAGATGAGCGCTGCAACCCCAGAGTCGGCCACGATTGGACCTAATGGTCAGGGGTCCCTTTACCTTTACCACTGTAAATTCCCAAAATACAACATTGGGGGGGGGGGTTTGCTAATGCAAAAGCTTTAATGCACACTTTCCCCTAATATACTCATTATTGTGCACTTTTGTTGTTGGGTGGATGGGGAACCACATCGACAAAAATCAAAAGTGCAAATTTCAGGGGATAACTGTATTTCAGGAAGTGCAAGTTAACATTAAAATGTGAAGAACACCAAATTTCTCCCCACTCCCTCCTCTTCTAAAGCTCGGGGTGAACAAGGCAGACTATGGAGGTGCACGTAGCTGAAAGCTGCACAGTTTTCTTTATATTTCTGAAGCTCTTATCTAACATATGCACAGACAGCTGCGTACGAGCCTCTGATTTACAACAGCTACCTTCGCTCCCAGGTGAGGGCTTTCCTTCTCACTCTGGAAACAAAGAAACAGGCTTATCGTTCTCCTTTCAACAGAAACAACTGTTTTGTCTTACACTCACACCCTCCGCAGATCCCAAAACAAGAAGCCCACAGGCGCCCCAAAGAACCAGCGTGCTTCTATACACCTTTGCTGTGTTGTAAACACAACAGATGGAAACAGATAGGACTTTTTACCTGCCCAGGCGTTGATTCAAGGATGCCGGAGAAAACATCCATGCATGCTGTAAACGAGGCACATCAACTACCACTTATGATCAGAACTTCCAATGGGTTTGCATTTGCAGGAGATATGCAGAGATCAGACCCCACAGGCTTTTTAAAAAAAATAATAATACAATTTTATTAGATTTTCCACCGTGATAACACAAACCACAAAGCAAGATGATACACAAAAACAGAAAAGGAAAAAGGAAAAAGAAGAAAGGGGGGGAAGAGGGGGAAACAATAAACAGATAGACAATAATAACAAACTTAATTCTTCCCAAGTCCAACCTTTTAAACATCTTGGTTGACTTCCTCAAATCCCTCCCTTCTGAGTTTCCTTGTAATTAAAAGTAACAGCTTTCCAATATCATTATTAAACTAAAACAATTTCCAATTATAGTCCATCTTATTCACTTTTCTTAACATTCTGAATCCCATTTATTTAATCATAACTTAATTTAATCCTAGGCCTATTTGTTTCTTTCAGGTAATTTCTAATTTTTTATATTACAATATTTATTCAACTAGTCCTTGAATTTCCTCCAGTCCTCTTGAAACTCCTCTTCTTTCTGGTCGTGGATTCTTCCAGTCAGGTCAGCTAACTCCAAAAAGTCCATCATCTGACCCCACAGGCTTTTAGCTATATATTTTTCTTTTAGCTATTTTTTTCTTGTTGAAAGGCAGGTATTAAATATTATAAATGGATAAATTTATGAGAACAAATTTTTTAAGGTGAATTGACAGTTGACGTTTTATTATGTTTTGTATTGTGCCGGAAGCCGCCCAGTGTGGCTGGGGAAACCCAACCAGATGGGTGGGGTATAAATAAAGTTGTCGTTGTTGTTGTGAGGCAGTTCCTGACCACCAGGAAAGCAGGCCCAGCCTCAGCAGCTGGCATTCACCACTGCAAGTTCCTGCCCCAGATCACATGCTTGTCCTGGGCATTTGCCTCAAGGTCCACATGGTGTTAGGACTGGGCTATGGTCTGCAATCAGAAGTGAGTTGAGAGTAGAAACAGGCAAATCTGACAATTTCGGAATCTCATTTTTCCATTTTCTATTTGCAAACTTTATATGAGAAATCAGGTTAGCAAAAATGAAACTCTACAGCGCCATCTGGTGTCACAGTGTTAGAATGCATAAACAACACATATACAGTGGTACCTCGGGTTAAGTATTTAATTGAAGCAGTATTTCTGGGTTAGCAGAGTCTGTAACCTGAAGCATATGTAACCTGAAGCGTCTGTAACCCGAGGTACCACCTTGGAAGTTGAATGAAATCCATTCCGGAAGTCTGTTCGACTTCCAAAACATTTGGAAACCAACCTGCGGCTTCTGATTGGCTGCAGGAAGTTCCCAATTTGCTCTTTACAGGTATGTTGGGCAGAGTGAGGAGGCTGCTCCCCCTTCGCTCCAGTGCTGTGCTAGGTGCTGTACAGAGTGTGCAGTACCTACATCAGGGGTCAGCAAACTTTTTCAGCAGGGGTCTGGAACACTGTCCCTCAGACCTTGTGGGGGGCCTGACTATATTTTGAAAAAAATAATGAACGAATTCCTATGCCCCCCATCATCCCTAGCTAACAGGACTAGTGGTCAGGGATGATGGGAGTTGTAGTCCCAAAACATCTGGAGGGCCGAGTTTGCCTATGCCTGGTGTAGATGCGACACTGGCTGGCAGCTGCTCTCTGGGGTGTCAGAAAGAA